TCAGCCAGTGAGCGGCTGGTCTGTATGTGGGATCCGAACCCTCGGCGGGAGCGCCGCCGTGCTCCCAAGTGGCGCACTGTAGCAGTGCACCACCGGGCCGGCCCCCAACAGTCTTTTATATATACTCACATATTTACCATTTCCAGTGGTCTTCATTTTTACCTACAGAACCAAGTTACCATCTATTGTTATTTCTATGAATATGAAGAACTTCCTTTAGCGTTTCCTGTAGTGTAGTTTTACTGGTGATGAATTCTGTCTGTTTTCATTTGTCTGAAATGTCTTTATTTCCTCTTCATTTTTGAAGGGTAGTTTTTATGTATATAGATTTCTGTGTTGAACGTCTTTCTTTTAGCCCTTTAACTATTTGTTCCATTGTCTTCTGGACTTCATTTGTCTTGATGAGAAGTCAGTGCCATTTGTACTTCTCTACTCTGCCTGTATATAATGTGTTGTTTTCTCTCATTGCTTTCAAAATGTTCTCTTTATTTTTGGATTTCAGAAGTTTGTGATGTAGCTGGGTGTTGGGGTTTTTGGTTTTTGTTAGCAAACAAAAAGCTTGAGGTTCACAACTTCTTGGATCTGTAAGTAGATGTCTTTCAAACCCACATACATTGGAGGGCCAACTATATTTGTCCTTCATTAACTTTCAGCTTCTTAAGGTCAAGGACTGTATGCTTTATATTTGCATCTAAGTGCCTATCACAGTGCCTTGCATGTGAAGGCATGCAATATATGTTTAAATGAATGAATATTGGTTTTTTTGGTTTTTGTTTTTTTAATATTGTTAGTTTGGGCTTATGTGTTGAATTCTTTTTGAATCTTAACTCTGTTATTTATTTTTGCTATATTATAGACATAAAAGTTTTGATGGTTTATATAATTTATCAAGTTTGCATATTCATTTCATTAGTGTTATTGGTTTATAGTTAAATTCATCCTGAAAAATTACTATTCTGTTTCTCATTGCATTTTCTTTATACTTTTAGTTTTCGAGGGTTGATTGATATATGTTTGTGTTTTAGGCATTGTAGATTATAGAGCAGTTTAGAAAAGTATATAATTAACTACAGTACAGTCTAGGTAATGATGTGCTGTGAAAGTAGTACTGTAGAAGTCAAAGGTAGGAGAGATTATTTCTGTCAGAGAGGATCTTGGGAATGTTTCAGAGTTCTTTTCATGTTCTACATTCTTCATGCTGGAGGAGGAAGATTCTAACTTAAGGAAGTAGAAGGAAAGACTATTCCATGGAGGGAAAAGCATAAGCAAGCTTGAGCAGTGACATGAACAAGTGAAGAAGCAAGAAATCACAATTTGTGTTCACTAAATACTGAATAGTTCAGTCTGTTTGGAGACAGGTGGGAGAAGTGGTTTTAATGATAGCAGTGAACATTTTTTGAGCATTTATTTTATGTCAGTCAGATTTACATATATTAACATGTAGTGTTACTCATTTTACATATGAGAAAGCTTGGTCCCAGAGAAGTTATGTAACTTGCCTCAGATCACAGAGTCAGCAAGTTGTGGAGCTAAGAATCTAATTCTAGAATCCAAATCCTTAACCACTGGCTTCTGGAGGGCTTTGAATATTAACTTAAGGATTTTAGACTGCAGGTTTGCTAAAACGCAGCTGGGAAAAGCATATCCCTTTGCTGTGCTCAGACATTACTGATGGCTTTTTACTGGCTGTAAAATAATCTGTTACCTGGGGATAGGGGTTAGAATGGAATGGGGGAAAGACTGGAAGTGAAGGATATCAGGCCATTATAGTAGAATAGGCAATAGATATTGTGGAAATTTATGACTGTTATATTATTCAACCAAAAGTATGCAGTGTAGTTGTTTTTCTATAAATATAAAATTCTACAAGGTACTCCCAAAAGTTCATGGAAAAATAGAATTGAAAAAGATAATATGAATCTTTCCATGAACTTCTGGAAGCACCCTTGTATTTTCCTTGTATAAATCTTCGAAATAGTAGAAGAACAAAAATGTGACTGTTCATTACTGTGGTTATAAGAAAGAGATAGTGTATAGCTTACTTTTAGTTTAGCTAACATAATTTTTTTCTGAATTTTTTTTTTTGTCTTTTTTCGTGACTGGTAACGGGATTGCAACCCTCGGTGTCGCGCCCACACCGTGCTCAACCAGCGAGCGGACCGGTCTCTATATGGGATCCAAACCCTTGGTGGGAGCGCCGCTGCGCTCCCAAGTGCCGCACTCTACCGAGTGCGCTACCGGGCCGGCCTTTTTTTCTGAATTTTAAGAGTTATACAAAGTATTGATACAGCTGAGACCTTTCTTATTCTCTTTTATTCCTCCCTGAAAAAATCATGTAAATGAGAACTGGAGAAAAAATTCAAAGCAAAACACTCTTTTGTAAGGAAATTTTTGTCCTCTTTTGGAGTAATTTAAGATATTTTTGGTCTCTTCCTGTCATTTTCTGAAAACTCAAAATCAGCAAAACTGTAATCTGTATAACAAACCACAAATAAATGACAGAGAAACCTAAAATCTTTTTGGCAGCTGCTGTTAGTCGTGTGCCTCAAGTTCATAGTAGTTTCCTACCAGATGATAACATTTGCTTGGGAGATGTTTGAGTTTCAGGAATGCTGAAACAGTGGAATATGAGCCAAGGGACTTTTTTTCTAGGTATTACACATATATTTTTTTCTTTTTTTAAATTATTTTATTTTTTACCTTTTTCTTTCTACACTTGAAATTTAGTTCATTAATTTTTTTTTTTTTAAGATGACTGGTAAGGGGATCTTAACCCTTGGCTTGGTATTGACAGCACCACGCTCAGCCAGTGAGCTAACCGGCCATCCCTATGTAGGATCCGAACCCGTGGCCTTGGTGTTATCAGCACCGCACTCTCCCGAGTGAGCCACGGGCCAGCCCTTAGTTCATTAATTTTAACTTTGGACCTGAATTAGCTAATCTGTTCATCTTTTAAAAATATTTTTCAAATCTATTCCCTTTTTTTCAGGTCATAAATAAGGTTCATCTCAAGGCAAATCATGTTGTAAAGAGAGATGCTGATGAGCATTTAAGAATCAAGACTGTCTATGATAAAAGTATTGAAGAGTAAGTACATCATTATTTTGTCATCTTTTTTTTGTTATGAATCTAAATATTAAATATATTTTCATCTGTTACCTGAAGTAAAAAAAAAAAAAGTCCATAGATGGAACTTAACAAGGGCTAGTGTAGCTTCAAGATGAAATTAAGCTGAAAATGCCTTTTAAATCTGAAAATATGAAGGCCATGGGAGTTTATACATTTGAAGTCTGTACATCATGAATAATTTAAACAGAACAAATTTGGATTTACTTGGATGTGGTCAATAATAGACCTGGAAGGCACACCTCAATAAGTACTTGGAGGAAAAATAAGAGGACATACTAATGTAAACAATAATAAGAAAATATACAAAATTATTAACCAGAGAGATTATGTAGTCTAATTTTTATTTACTGTAAGTGGGGTATAGAAAACAGATAAATTATGAATCTGTAGTAGTTTACGAAGAGCTTTTAGGAGTTGATGACTTTCTGTATCCTTAACATCCCAAATGAATGAGATTACATATGATCATGCTTAGGGCCATGTTTTGGCACAGAATAAACTCTCAAATATTCACTGAGGTAAGGTGAAGTTTTGGAGAACAGATATTATATGCTTTCATACAGCATTTCTTGGGGCTTTTACAGATACACTCTGAACATATGAAACAGTGCTCTGCCTCAGAGTAGCAATTCTTATGTTTTATGTCATCATTTTCAGGTTGCTCCCTGAGAAAAGATATCTTGTAAAGGTATGTAATAGATACTCATGGATTGAATTGGATACATAAATTGAGTACATTTTATTGTATGTAAATTCTACCTCAATAAAGAATATATACATGACTGTTTTGTGAATGACTAAAGAAAAGGTGTTGGTAGTGAATGTATTTGCCATTTCACCAAAGGTGTCTTTGTGATGCACTCACCAAAACTTTATCAGTATTTGATATTAAGTTAGTTTTTTTGAAAAATACAGCAATCATAATAATGTTGTGAACTTTCAAAAGGAGAGAATGGAACTGAGGCCACTAGAGGAGGGAAATTGGGAGGGGAAGGGGAAGTTGGTGAGAAATTGGTAAAGGGCCACAAAAATGATTACATTGTATAATAACACATATAGTAAAAAATTTTTTTGAAATATGAAAATGTTAAAAAAAAAACTTTGAGAAGAGTTAAAAAAGAAATGTGTAAGTGTTGATCTTGCATCATCACCAATATATGATAAAATTACTCAAAAAAAATTAGTTGTCCTGTTTTATAATTTGATTTTAAATTAGTCTTCTTGGGCTGGCTAATTAGTTCAGTTGGTTAGATTGCAGCCTTATAACAGCAAGGTCATGTGTTCAGATCCCAATAAGCCAGCCACCAAAAAAAATAAATAAGTAAATAATAAATTAGTCTTCTCGTTTGTTTACTTGCTCAAGTTTTTGGGGAGCAGGGCATGCTGAGGATAGGGCGAAAAAGACAAGTTTTGAAATACACTGAGAATACCATTCTCTTAGTAGAAATGTTCATTCTCCTGAAGATTAATTGGCCTGACAGTGTGATATGCCAAAGTTGTTTATAGAGGTGCTAACCTCATCAGATTTTTAACTGTATGGGGTCACACACACACATTAAGTCAATTCACTGTGGCTGCAGTAATTCGTGAGTTTAACTAAACATAATATTTTCTTAACAAAAACTACTTCTGTATTGGAATATCAAATTTGTTGTAATCTAGATTAATAGTTGAGATTTGTGTTTTCTATTTTCTGTTTAAATGGAAGTGCAGAAGGAAGTTTCCATCTAGTGCTCTTTTCCCAAACTCAACTAGAAAACGAGGAAATTTCTTTCCTTTTTAATCGCTTTCTCTGTATCACTTGCCATACAACCTTTGACTGACTAGTATTTGTATTCCAGAATTGTGAAGTTTTTCCCTTTTGTCCCCTCAGTCATTAATATCTTATGCTTACGTATTTTAAATATAATTTATCTCATGATTATAATTCTGACTGGGCTTTTTTTTTTTTTAATCAACTTTTATTTAGAACAAACTTTTCCCGCAAGCTATTTCTTATTTAGAGAAGACTTTTCAGGTTCGTAGACCTGCTGGCACTATCTTACTTAGCAGGTATGTTAAATTGAAAACACAGATCATTTTCTTTGGTCATTTGTGCTCTGCCCTCCCCATTCTACCAATATGACAAAGTATGAAACTTACATTAGAATATTTTATTTTGCTTGTTCATAGAGACCAAAATGCAAAATATTTAAAAAGGACAAAGCACCTGTTGGATAATCATTCTTTCCCTGATTTTCCATTATGAGGAGGCTTACTAGATCTTTTCCTAGGGTGTAGCTGTCCTCTGTTCTCCATATCCCCTTCTTCCCTCCTTCATGTGCCTACAGTATATTGGCTTTATGAAGTATTTGGGTGTTTGAAAACCCAGGTCAGGAGAATTTCCCATAGAACCAAAATTCTTTCTTAGACTATTTTCTTAACTAAAATAGTAACCATTATCAATGAAGTAATCTAGCAGCTACCAGTTTGTTACCATGTTTTTAACTGCTGTGAACTTTTCTTTATTTTTACAATTAAATTTTGATGTACAAATGAAATGAAGACAATGTGCCACAAACCAATACCTACGGAAGGAAAATGATCCTCATAGATATTGTACTGGGGAATGTGCAGTGCATACAAAATGTGGCCCAGTTATAGTGCCTGAGGAACATCTACAGGTAATTCACCCTCCTCTTATCAATATTTTTACTCTTTAGGGTAACCATAGGGGAGATTTTGAGTCTGTGAGTACTACCAAGAAGTTTTCACTGACTTAAGTTCAAAGGCATAGTAGCTTCATTCTTCTACCAAAAGTATGCTAATTTTATTCTTTCATTGTTTTTCAAATGAGTTTAATGATATCTCCTCTACCCCCCCCCCATTTATCTCGGGGGTCTGCTGATTCAGTTCAGCTTAGAACTTTGTTCATTTATCTCGGGGGTCTGCTGATTCAGTTCAGCTTAGAACTTTGTTTTTATCCTCCAAAACATCTTTTAGCAGGTATATACCTCAGTTTTTAAAATGGCAGTTTGACTTCTCTTAAAATAAAAAAATGTGTATACTTCAACCCAACCTAGAAATCTGTTCCGTAGATGGCTGGCTGGTTGTTCAGTTGGTTAGAGCATGGTGCTGATAACGCCAAGATCCAGGGTTCGATCCCTGTACCAGCCACCTGCCAAAAGAAAAAAAAAAGAAAAAAAGAAATTTATTCCATAAAAATGCTAATACCAGTGTAATATATGTTCAAGGGGTTTTTTTGCAAAACTATAAATATGCCTATTTAGGGTATTATGGTATAACTATATGATGAAATACTATGCAGTTGTTAAAGAGTGAAGTAAATCTGTATGTACTGACTTGGAAAGATATTTAAACTCTTAAATGAGGAAAAAGTTGCAAATCAGTATATGTAGTTAGCCTATTTTATTTCAGTCGAGATCGGGCGCGTTCAGGGTGGTATGGCCGTAGACAAGCCTATTTTATTTCAAAAGTATAGACACACATACAATAAAAAATTATAACAAGATCCAGGGTTTGATCCCTGTACTAGCCAGCTTCCAAAAAAAAAAAAAATAATAAATATATATATAAAAACAACATATGGTTTTCTTTAAGAGTTGGGGTGGGGGGCTTTTCTTTGGTATGTTATGTATTTTTGTGATGTTCTGGTTTTTCATTTTGATCATCTAATATTTGTATCAGAAAAAAAAATTTTTTAAATACATATACCAGAAAGCCAATTTATTATACATATAAATCTGAAAAATATGATTATTGCAATAGCTTTTTTTCTCTATTTAGCTGTGTTCTTTCATTACTTACAGAAAATAAATGCATTACTGAATAGTGGCTTTATAACCAAAGTTAAACGTATAGTTACATTAAGTTTATCTTACAAGTATTTTCTTTAGGTATTTGAAGTTTAGTAAACGCTTTTGTAACCCTATATGTTGGCACCAGTACAGCTAGCTTGCTGGACTTTCATTTCTATTCTCAAATTTCTTAACAGTATAGAGTTTTAGGGACATGTCTAAAAATTAAAACAAATTGTTAATTACATACCCATCTCTCTTCCCAAGATATACCTAGGTATTTTAAGACTCGTTTGCTTTTTTCCTAAAGTATTGTTTGTTGTTTTTAATTCTCTTGGCTCTTCCAAATTCTGCTGTGTACTTCTTGGGGGTTCTGATTTTTTTTTTTTAATTAAATAGTAATCATGGGAAAGAATGCTTAAAAATCACAACTTTTTGTAACACTAACAATAGGTTAAAGTACAGTAATTGAATTTAAAAATTATAAGTTCACATGTTAGAGAAGCAAGAGTAAACAATATGTACTTTCTATTAAATGAAATGGGAACTTCCATTTTTGTCTTTTCCTCTACAAGCTTTGCTTATACCTAAAAAAACAAAATCACAATTTTCTGGTCTTTCTATTTATGATTTGGAGATTATGGTTGTTTAGGAATTTTGGTAGTAGCAGTTTTCTAAAAAGCAAATGTTAAAAAGGCAAATAAGATATGCTTACAAAACTAGAAACAAGGGTAGTATCACAAGATGACTTTAACTTTCACCTTATATACTTCTGTATAATCCGAAATTTTTATTTTTATTTTTATTTTTTGGCTGCTGGCTGCTATGGGGGTCCGAATCCTTGACCTTGGTATAGTACCGTGCTGTAACCAACAGAGCTAACCAGCCAGCCCCTATTGCCTGAATCTTTAACAAGATACATGAATTACTTTATAATATGAAATATATTTTCATTAGATAAAATGTTTTTTATTAATTAAGTTTGAAGTAATTATTGATTTAAAGGTAGTTGCAAAAAAATACGTATAGGGAAGTCCTTTCAACTAGTTTCAGGGTTTTAAAACCTTTTCTATTTTTGCCTTTTCGGCATCCCCGTTCATTGACCTTTATAAGTAGCAATCATTTGTTTTAATTGAGATTATAGATTTATGATCATTTTATATAAAGTAGAATTTTCAAAATTAAAGATAGGAACTGAGTAGAGAGAAGGAGGTATGGACTTTTATTTATTATCCCTAAACATTTATCAAGGTTAAATCATACTATATTTACAGTCTAAATTCACTACAAGATTAAATGTAACTGCAGCTAACCTTGTCTCTGGTCTGGTTTTCTGTTGACATGAGCACAGCAGTGCAGGGTCTGTCGTGAGGGTAAGTGGCCCTGTAAAGCAGTGGGCGTGCAGAATCAAGAGGGCATCCGGGATGCAGACTTTGTTCTTTATGTTGGTGCTCTGGCCACCGAGAGGTGCAGCCATGAAAACATCATCTCTTATGCAGCCTATTGTCAGCAGGAAGCAAAAATGGACAGGTAAGCTTTCCTCTGAAACTTATTTCCCAAGATCTAATATGGGAACTCTTAAACTATATTTTAAGTGTTAAGACTACAGGAATCTTGCAGTTGCCAGATTGACTCTCTCTCTAGTAGTGAGAAATAGCATGCTGCCTGGATTTGGGGGGGTGGGTGGAGGACAGTAATAGGACAGTTATTTATATGGTAATGAAGTTTTTAGTCGAAATAAAAGAGAGAAAAGTGAAAAACTTCCTTTGGCTTTTCCCCCTACCACTCCTTTTCCATTTCTATCAGATTCTTTTTGCTTACAAACTCTAAAGTCTATATACGTCAAGAGGTGAATTACCTCTCTAAGGAAACAATTTGATCTTTAATTTTAGCATTACTCTGTAAGATGTTACTTTTCATCTAATTTTCATATCATTTGTTACATGTGCTTCATTTAGCCAAGTTTTCACTTAAAAATTCGGAGCCCTCTTTGTTATTTACAAAAGATTTCAAAAGCTTTTCCTAGTGAAGCAGCCCAGCCTTGAAATGATGTTATTGTATATGCAGAAGATTTTCTGTCACATACCAGACAGATCAATTAAAGGCAGTAGAAATTGCCACATGTCTCAGAACAGATTGTATGTAACATTCAGAAATCTAGGAAAGGCCCTTGTGACTAATTCATGTGCATGTGAGCACCATTGCTAAGGTGTTGAACATTTAAGCTGACTTTACAGAGCTGTTTCACTTCTATTGATATGGTAATTCACTTAAGGAGAAAAATGAAACAATTAGTTGAACCAGGCAGTCAGTAGAAAGGCAACACTGGTATATGCTTGGAAATTGTACTGTCAATCCTGAAGTTGCTAAGGAGGTCAAAATCAAAGGCATGTGTTATGAAAAGTAGTCTATTACCGTGATACTATGTAATTGTTGATTGGTGAAATCAACTCAAAAATCTTTAGGCTGAATGTTCAGAAGGTTTAGCATCAACTATTAAGTGTGTTTCTGCAGAAGAAAGTGTTATATGTTTTTACAGATATATGTGTGCTAGTGTTCCTTTTTTCTGGAGAAGCTGTTATTAAATTTATGATGTCTTATAATTAGTGTTGTCTCAGTGTCAAGGAAATGTGGTGTTTGAACTGCTAAATGAATGATAAATTACTTGATAAAGTAAGATACTTTCTTAAAGTTAGATGTCTTTGAGAAATATACCTTCATAATAGCACTGCAAAATCATGGTTATCTTAATTTGAACTAAATGATATGGATTGCATGTACACATACACACACAAAATCTCATTTTAAATAAACTGTTAAGTGTCAGATAAACCAAGTCAAGTGCAAAAATAGTGTACATAGTATGATTCCCTATTTGCTTAAAAATCTAAACAGTCATGCACTGCATAAGGATGTTGGATCAGCGATTGACCACATATACAATGGTGGTTAGAGCAATAGCCTATGTATAGCCTAGGGGGTACTAGGTTATACTATTTAGGTTTATGTAAGTATATTCTGTGATGTTTGCACAATGACAAAATCACATAACAACACATTTCTTAGAATATATCCCTGTGGTTAAGCAGTGTATGACCGATCATCTCAATTTGCCCTGGTTTTAACGCTAAAAGTCTCACATCCCAGGAAACACCTCAGTCCTGGACAAACCTGGATGGCCAGTCACTGTAGAAATAATGCACACCAAATTGTTGTAGTAGTTACCTCTGATAGTAGAATTTAGTGGGGGTATGGTATAAAACAGAGAATTATTTCTTTTTTAAAAAAAATATTTCCAGGGCCGGCCCGGTGGCGCACTGGATGGTGCGCCGCTTGGGAAGCGCGGCGGCGCTCCCGTCCGAGGGTTCGGATCCCATATACAGACCGGTTCCCGCTCGCTGGCTGAGTGAGGCGCGGGAGCAACACCGAGGCTTGCGATCCCGTTGCGACCGGGGGCAGCACTGAGGGTTGCGATCCGTAATAACTTCGTATAGCATACATTATACGAAGTTATACGACTTGCACCAAATTGTTGTAGTAGTTACCTCTGATAGTAGAATTTAGTGGGGGTATGGTATAAAACAGAGAATTATTTCTTTTTTAAAAAAAATATTTCCAGGGCCGGCCCGGTGGCGCACTGGATGGTGCGCCGCTTGGGAAGCGCGGCGGCGCTCCCGTCCGAGGGTTCGGATCCCATATGCAGACCAGTTCCCGCTCACTGGCTGAGCGAGGCGCGGGAGCAACGCCGAGGCTTGCGATCCCGTTGCCGGTCCCCGGTCCGGTACGGGGGCAACACTGAGGGTTGCGATCCATTGCCGGACACGGAAAAAAGACAAAAAAGACAAAAAAAAAAAAAAAAATTTCCATATTGTTTGAATATATACCTTTTTACAATGAGTTTTTATTACTTTTATTATAAAAGACACATTAAAATGAATTTGATGTGTTAGATACAGAGTGACTTCCCTTGGGAAGTAAGGGGAAGGATATAAAATTCCTGGTTGAGTTGGGCCTAGATTAGTTAATCTCATTTCAGCATCTGATAATGCTGAAAGTACCTAAAGTATCTAATTGTCTTTTGGTGAGAGAATTCAGCACAAGAGTCACGCAGATAACAATCCCATATCAGAGAGGCATCCTTCAGTTTCATTGCACTGCTGTTTATTTATAGCACTTTAATATTTGATTCACATTTGCTCTGAATGAGTAGCTAAAAGAATAAGTGTTCTTTGTAAAAGTGAATATGAAGCTACTCATATATGTTTGCTTAAATCTGGGGGAAGATTTCGGTTTCTTCTGAAAAGAGTGTTGATGTTGGGAGAAAGAGCAGTATCTTCAGTTGTTCTTTTTGAATCTTTTGGAAAGGAGTAAAACTTTCCTTCAAAACTGCTGTGTTGCGTTAACTCATCCCATGAATATATGGTTGCCTAATATTTTGCTAACAGACTAGGTGAATAAAATAGATATGTATACCTGCCATGTGGAATTTACAGATTACAGAGGGAGACAGATATTAGTTAAATATGCTTGCAAATAAGTGTGTGATTTCAAAATGTGGCATATACTTTGTAGAAAAAAAGCAATGCTGATAAAAGAGAACAAAAGGGGGAAACATCATTTAGGTCAATTGGGCAAGGAAGCCCTCTTTGAAAAAGTGAAATTTTATCTGTGGTCTGAGCATTGATAGGTTTTAGCCAAATAAAGAAGTGGAGGAAAGAGCTTGTGTAGGAAGAAGCTGTGTGTACCTGTTGCTGTCTGAAGCCACTTCAGTGGACACTGTGTTGGAGGACAAGTGCTTGGAGAGGCAGACAAGTCTGTTTTATTCTAAGTACAGTAGGAAGTCCCTGAAGGGTTTTGGTCTGGCAGTGACATCCATTTTATATTTCAGAGTTCACTGTGGCAATGTTTTGATGAGTGAATTATATTCATACTTTTTTTGGAGGGGGTGGCTGGGCAAGGATCTGAACCCTTGACCTTGGTGTTATAACAACTTACCAGCTGAGCTAACTGGCCAGCGTGCTATATTCATACTTTTTCTAAGTGTGAGTCTGTTGCTATCAAGTATGAGGAAAGGTACTGTATTTTCTGATTAAAATAAGGTAAATGTTCTTTGTAAACAGGCAATTATAACTGGGCAAGGTTTGTGGTATTTCTATGGTAAAATGTTAAGGTAGTGGTGGGAGAAAGGACCTTGAGCTTCCTTCTCATTGTCTGTTTGCCACAGCTTTTGAAAGACAGGTAGGTGCATGGTGGAACTGACTGAATTACTCTGAACTCTGGGTCCTATCTGCTCTTGGACTATTAGGTTTAGGCACACAGAGAGACTTAGAATTCTGTAGATTCTAGAGGGTGTAGAATTTGAAAGAAGATGATAGAAAGGTAAAAATCTTTATGTGAATGTAGGCAGTGTTGGGGCAGGAGAAGGGAACTAGTAAGATGGAGAAAAGTTTCAGCAACTTTTAGCAACCTGAATGATTTGCTTACTGCCTTGTTCTATGTCTGGTTTCCCTCTCTACCTGTCTCTGTACCTGTAAATATAGTGAAATGCTAAAGTTAAATATGAGTTTTGTAAGTAAAATAGAATTTGTTTTTCAATTCTTTCCTTTTCTGGTATTATATTGACATTTTTAAAATTCACAGTAAAGTATAATCAATTGACTGTGTCCTTTTGTGGAAACAGGTATTGATTTGCCATGCCATAGGAAAGCAGAGAGTACATGTCTTTAAGGTAAAAGATAGTAAAATTTAGCTGTTATGGTACAAAATTACATTTGGTGTTTAGCAAAGATTTTTCTGTCCTTGAGCAGTTTTTGATAGAGAAGAATAGGTTAGTAAATATTGTAATAAATATTGTTCTGGAATATAATTTAAAAATTCAATGTCTATTTTAACAGGCCAATAGCAGGATATGCTAACCTGTGTCCAAATATGATCTCTACCCAGCCTCAGGAGTTTGTTGGGATGCTGTCCACAGTAAAACATGAGATTATTCATGCCCTGGTAAATTCTACTGTTGTCTATTGTTCTTTTCTTCGTGCCTTGATATTCTGCTTATTATACTCTCATTTTGATGCATATATTAAATTTTTTAATTATATGGATTCTTGGAATGATGTTCAGTAAAATCTGATTAGTTAGGTCTCTGCTAATACAGAATTTTTAATGCTTAGGGTAGTGGCTAGGTTGAATTTTTCTATCTAATGTAATTAAACAAGTAAATCCATTGGGTAAATAGGATCTTTGAGAGAATAATTAAGATTCTTAAGAAAAAACTTAGTAACTTAGAAAAATTTACTTTCCTCTAGAATTTGTTTCCTCTAGATAACTGATACACCAATTCAAGATCTTTCTTCTCTGTTATGTAGAGCTCATTTCCTAAAGTCCTCTTGACCTATTTGGGTTTTCTAAAATGTACAGCTGATTCAGAACATCTCATTCCTTTTCCCCAATTTGTTCCAAATAGTAAACTTTTACTGTATGTCTAGGGAATTAAAATAGGTTGCCTAAGACCCTAGGAAATGTTCTTCTGATGCCATTTGTGTATTTAGAAAATAGATGACAGAGAGGGGTTCCAGTCAAGATGGCGGAATAGATGGTTCCCAGCGTCACTCTCTCCCACAAATCAACCAAATTTACAACTATAAAAATGTAACATCAGCCAAGCTGGGGCCGCTAGAGCTCAGGGAAGAGGAGGAGAGACCTACAGAGTTCATGAAGGTAGGAGAAACTAGAAAGAAAAAGCTGCTCTGAGCGTTTCGGGCTGCGGCTGCTTTAAGGCTGGAGCTGGCAGAAGCTGCAGCTGTGCCCTTCAGATGGAGTTTGTTGGAGGCCGCAGGAGAGAAGAGGGCCTTGGTGGCCCCCAGGACAGCAAGACCACTAATAGGTGGGCCCACGCAGGAGCGAGGAGCCAGAACAACTGAAAAAAGGGAGCCACTCAGAGGCTGGTGAGTCATCACAAGGGACCAGGCAGGGCCCGTCCCATGGGAAGTATCTGAAGCACAGGTGGTGGACAACATGGGAACACCAGGGGAACACTGGGGCACAGCAAGGACAGCCGACCTGCCCCCCATCAGCACAGGACCACTCAGAGGAGACTGGTCAGGAATGCAGAATTGCATGGGTTGCAGTTTGATGAAAAAACTCAGGCCCAGATCAGAGTTTCTACACAACACAGATCCGCTGGGTCTCTGGAGAGCCGGAAGTACCTACAAGATCAACCATTAAACCTTGAGCTGCACAAAAAGCCTTCCCTAGGGAAACAGCAGCAAAGTAGCAATTTAAACAACCACACAGCTCAAGTACTGGTTCCCACAGGAAGTTCCCCCATGTTAGAGGTAAAGGACAAAGAATTAGTTCCGGCCCAGGCACACCACCAGCACCTTGGGGCCTGCCTGGGAACCGGAGGCTTGGATCCAGGGACCAGACCCCACTCCTGCTTCCAGGCAAACTGTACCAATGCCTTGGGGCCAGCCCGGGAACCCGAGACATGGAGAAGGGGACTGGACCCCCCTCCCACAACCTGGCACACCAAGCCAGTGCTTCAGGGCCCACCCAGGGGCCCAGGGCATGGAGAAGGGGACTGGACCACCCTCCCACAACCAGGCACACCATGCCAGTGCCTTGGAGCCCACCCTGGGACCCAGGGCATGGAGAAGGGGACCGGATCTCTCTCCCACAACCAGGCACAACACGCCCATACCTCAGGGCCTGCTTAGGGTCCTGAGGCATGGAGAAGGGGACCAGACCTCTCTCCCACAACCAGGCACACCAAGCCAGTGCCTTGGGTCCTGCCCAGTGAGCTGAGGCATGGAGCCAGGTACCAGACCCTCCTCCCATAACCAGGCACACCACGCTGGCGCCTTCGGGCCTGCCCAGGGAACACAGGCATGGAGAAGGGGGTCAAACACAACCCACAGCCAGGCATACCACCAGTGCCAAGGAGCATACCAAAAACAGCACCTCCACGTGGGTGGTCCACCACAGCCACCACAATAACCAGGCTGCTGCAAAAGTGGCTAGACGCCACAACCACCACATAGATGGTCTGCCAGCCACTGGAGTGCATTCACACAAGGAGAGTCACCAACAGAGACAAAGAAAGGAAGAGGATGTCTCTTTCCACAAAACCCATTTCAGAGTGACAGAAGAAGCATATGCTCTATGATAGTATTGGGGGACCTGATCACATCTCTCAGTATCGGACAGATTATCTAGGCAACAAATTAACAGAGTAACCAGTATTGTTTCAGAAGGAGAGAAGAAATCTAGGGCAATTAGAGGGGATTTGTAACAATATATATGCTAGTAATATTGATTTAAAGAATAATTAGGATTTGTAACAATATATATGCTAGTAATATTGATTTAAAGAATAATTAGGATTTGTAACAATATATATGCTAGTAATATTGATTTAAAGAATAATTAGGATTTGTAACAATATATATGCTAGTAATATTGATTTAAAGAATAATTAGGATTTGTAACAATATATATGCTAGTAATATTGATTTAATCAACATATCTCAATGTTCAACCGCCAAAATATGTATAATCGGTTTTGATTCAATAAATTAAAAAAAAAAAGAAAGAAAGAAAATAGATGACAGCAAAGTACAATGGTTAAAAAAGAGAATGTATCACAAAGACCTAGATATGAATCTTCTTAGCTTTATTACTAAAAATCTTTGGGATCTTGGGCAAATTACTTAGCCTTTGTAAGCCTCAGTTTCATCTGTAAAATGAGAATAGTAGCAGTACATACTAAAATAGATTTCTTTTCTTGAAGATTAAAAAGACACTACGTATAAATGGCTTAGCACCTTGCTGTACATAGTAAACTGTATGTAAAATTAGTGGCTATTACTTGTTAGTCTTATTTAGTGAGCTATCATGTATGTCCTTGAAATGCAAGCCTCAGTCTTTGTCAGCAAGTTCACTGAATAACAAGGTAAAATCCTAGTGTAACCCGATAATACTTATATCCTTCAAGTAAGGAGAATCCAAAATGTAATGTCTTTTTTCCTTTTAATAAAAAATGTAGGTCAAACATGCTAATTGTAATGAAAGACAAGCATCATTCTAAGTAATGTCTTAAGCTCTGAGAACTACGTATATTCAATGTCGAGAGAACCAGAGAAAAGCAACAGGTTTTAAGTCTAGTTAATAAGTGAGGATGAATGCAGAGGTTCCAGATATAAGATATATTAGCTCATGAACAGGCAATTCACAAAAGAAAAAAATCCAATTGGCCAAGAAATTTATGAGAGTTTTCAGTCTTACTTTAGTGTCAGAGAATCTCAAATTAAAGCAAGACACGCCAATACCTGTGAGACTGGCAAAGTTAATACTTAGTATTGTCAAGGACGTGGGAAAATGGGAACCTAAATAATGTTGTGGGAGAGTAAATTTGTTACAGCTGTTTGGGTAAGCAATGTGTCATGTCTTGGCAATGTGAAGTTATACATACCCTGTAATTCAGAGATCCAGTGTCATTCATGGTCAAAGAGATATGTACATTATTTGTTGCAACTTTGTTTAAAATAATGAAAAACTTTTATAGCCTAGTTGACAATTTTCAGTGATAGAGACAAATTTGTTTTATTTATAAAATGGAACGTTATGCAGCAGTTAAAATGAATGGACTAGAAATAATTTATCAACATAGATAAATACCAAAAATATAATATTGAGTAAAGAAACACATATCTAAAAGTGTATGTACCGCATGATATCATTTTTTTTTCTTTTTTCTTTTGGTGTGGTGAAATTAAACATAAAATTGCCCATTTTAACCTTTTTTAAGTGTACAGTTCAGTGGTATTAAGTACATTCATATTGTGCAACAATCACCACTGTTCATTTCCAAAACTTTTTCATCATCCTTAGCTGAAACTCAGCACCCTTACCTGCCCATCCCTTGGTGACTACTATTCTACTTTCTGTCTCTATGAATTTGGCTATTCTGGGTACCTCATATAAGGGGTATCATACAGTATTTGTCTTTTTGTGTCTGGCTTATTTCATTTAACCTAATGTCTTTATGATTCATCCATGTTGTTGTATGTACCAGAATTTCATTCCTTTTTAAGACTGAATAATATTCTATTTTATGTATATACCAAACACAATACCATTTTTGGAAGTTTTTAAAACTCTCCAAATAAAATTAAATCTTGTTTGTGGTTATAAATATAGTAAAAATATAAAAACATGTATAAGAGTTATGCAAATTGACCTTAAGGTAGTAGTTACCTCTGGGAAGAAAGGGAGGAGAAAGAAATGAGATAAAGGGGCTTGAGCAATATTACTCTCCAGTGTCTTCTTTCATAAGAAAAAAAACTCCAAAGAAAGTATGGTGAAGCTAATATCTTAAATTCTGTTAAAGAGGATACATGAGTTTCTGTGAGATTTTTAATTTTTGTATATTTGAATTATTTCCAAAATTTAAAAACCTAAGAAATCTTAACAATTTGAGTTTAAATCTCAAAAATCATCCTGGGGGGCAGTAAGAATTAAATATTTAACAAATATAGATACTCCCTATAATGTTATGTGTGCTTATAGCTGTTAATCACAGTTATCTGTGGTATTGTTAATGCTAGATGAGCCTTCAGAAATGTGAATGCTAAGAAAAATGTTCAAGTTGATAAGGTGGTAAAAAATGTGCATTTAAAATATTATAAAGGATGAGGAAAATTATACTATTTTAAGCTTTGTATAACTTCAGCATATTATATACTAGACAACTATTTAAATTTTCTAAAAAAAATTTTTTAAAGAAATTTTCATAGCTGACTTCATTGTTTCCTTTTCACCCTAAGGGATTTTAAAAATAAACATGTAGGTGTAAAAGAATAATCTGGATTTTGTTAATCATTTTGTCAAGCCTTGAATGACACAGAGGCCACAGTTAAGTAAGGAAAAAAAGTTTTCAAAGAAATTGATTAATAAGGTGATCATTTATGATTTTTAGCTATTTGGATATAAGCTATAGCATATTCTGAATTTATAAAACATAAAGTAGTTACAAAGTACTTTGTTTTTGGTATTAGATTAGGAAAGAAAGCAAGAAAGGAAATCTCACTGATGAACTAGATATCAAATGACAATAATTTTTTTGTGTCCCTTTCCTCACCTTATTTGGGAGGGAAGAGATAGAGAATGGGAATTTTTTTTTCCCCCTGGTGGCTGGCTTGTCAGGATCTGAACCCATGACCTTAGTGTTACAAGGCTGTGCTCTAACCAACTGAGCTAACTGGCCAGCCCAAGAATGGGAATTTGAATATCTTTACATGAAGTATTCATTATCTCAGTAAAATTTAAGTCTTAAAAATACCATTTTAAAAATTTGATTATAAACATAACAATTTATTGTAAAAAATGTCTGGAAAATGGGTTATTTTACGCTACCATCAAAAGAACCACAGCTAACATTTTGATATATACATTTCCAGTCTTTTTTTTTTTTTTTGATGGCTGCTACAGGGATTGAACCTGGGACCTTGGTGTTATCAGTCTTTTTTTTTTACATTTATATACAAACACACATATATTTCCAGTCTGTCTTTGTGTGTACACATACATACACACAACACGTATACTTAAATCAGAATTTTTATGAGTGCTCTTAGGAGCACAGTTGACCCCCCACCCCCCTGCTGTACGTGGTATTGCTAGTGGTTTTCAGTAGTAGCATTCCCTGGATGCAATTGTAGAGTTTAATAAATTCAGGCAAAGAAGACAATTGTAAACACAGCCAATGAATGTCTTTAATCGTTACTCTTGGTGTCTTTGCTTTCCTCGCTTACGAATTAAGATAACTTTTTCATGGAAGGTTTTTTTCTCCCTTAAAATTCTGAGATTTGTGAATAAAGGATACCAAAAGAGCTATGAAAGTACATGGCTATGGCAGATCCCTGGGCTGCTGCTGCTTCTCATAACCGTGGAAACATTTGTAGAGTACCTTCTCAAAACTAGAGAAGGATTTGTTAGCTAATTAATGATTTCTTTTCTTTCTTCTTTTTTTTGACAGCTGGCTGGTACAGGGATTGAATTCTGGTCCTTGGTGTTATCAGCACCATTCTCTAAGCAACTGAGCCAGCCCTAACTAATATTTTTTTTTTTTTTTTTAAAGTTGACTGGTAAGGGGATCTTAACCCTTGACTTGGTATTGTCAGCACCACGCTCTCCCAAGTGAGCCACGGGCTGGCCCCATAAATAATGACTTTTTTAATGTGTGCACACATACAAATGTATATCTTTACAGTAATTTTTAATTAAATTAACCTGTTTTATTTTAAGCAATTGTCAGTCTTGGCCATGCAGTTCAGTGTACTATTTGCATACTTTCCAACTGTTGTCTAGCATTCAGAAATGATACCTGATACATTCTCAAACAAGGAAAAAGGACAAAATTATTTTAAAAAGCAGACAGGAATTAAAAAACTCAAGATCCCTTTAGCATGTGGTTTGTAAACTCTAATAGTGCCTGGAAGTATTATCATAGCACAGTAATTTATGTTTATAGTATTTATACTGAACATAATTTTAAAATATGTAATGCATTTTGAAAAAATTTCTATTAAGAATGTTTATCTCAAGTAATTAGAATTTAAGTTTATAAGTATGGAACACTTAATTGTTCAATTCTAATGTATGTGATTTTCCTGCAGAAGTATTGGTATAGTACTTTTATGTACTAGTATCAGTGCGCTCTTTTGATAGCAAGCATGTTATGGTGTCTGTAATCAGACTTGATATTTTTCACTTTAAGATATTATGAACTTTTTCTTACAGGGTTTCTCTGCTGGGCTGTTTGCATTCTACCATGATAAAGATGGAAATCCTCTTACTTCAAGGTTTGCGGATGGTCTTCCACCTTTTAATTATAGGTATTTGTTATTTTTGTTCTTGTTCTTTTCTTTTAGGAGGGTACTAAGACTAGAATATGAGAATCATAGCATGTTAGATGCCATAAATGATAGTATCTTTATGGCTAGCCTAATTGTAGATATTAAAGCAAAAGCAGACATAAAATGTCATTTAGCTTCATCCCTTCATTTTATGGAGGAAGAAATTGAGTTGCAGAAAGTTTAACTGATTTGTCCACAGAGCCGGGATTCCTCTTGCCACACAGAACTCTTTTCCACTACATTATAACTTGTATTACTTTACAGTATAGTCAGGCCGTGGAATAATGTGAGTTGGTTATATTTTGCTTTTTTAATACTTATTACTTGTACATGGTGGCATTTACTGTTAACTGAGATTTTATTCAGCACAGCAGATTAGCAGTGATCTACAGATCAGGGCCTAAAATAAGTAATACTATGAAATACTAAAAAAATTTATCAAGAATTTTATAGAGAGTATCAGTCACAGAACTGTAACCATTTGCAAGCATTTATATAAAAAATAAATCTCTAATGAGCATATGTCCATAAAAAGACTTGTAAAAGAATATTCATGGCAGCTTTGTTATTAATAGCCAGAAAATGTAAACCACCCTAAGGTCTGTAAATAGTAGAATGGATAAATAAATTGTGATATGTTCATATAATTGAAAACTACATAGCACTAAAAAAGAACACCCTATTGCTACATGCAGTAATATGGATGAATCTCACAAATATAATGAAGAACAAAAAGTCAGATAGTCATTTGTATGGAGTTCAAAAACTGGCATTGGTAAAAGATGAGTAGTTTTACTTTAGGGGGCAAGCTTTTAAATGCCATAAAGGTTGAGTATAGATTGGGAAGGTGCACAAGGAAACCTTTTAGGGATGCTAACACTGTTTCCTATCTTTATTAGAGTATATGGGTATAGGATAAAAAATTAATTCTTAAGGCCGGCCCGTGGCTCACTCGGTAGAGTGCGGTGCTGATAACACAAAGGCCACGGGTTCGGATCCTATATAAGGATGGCCGGTTTGCTCACTGGCTGAGCGTGGTGCTGACAACACCAAGCCAAGGGTTGAGATCCCCTTACCGGTCATCTTTAAAAAATATATATATATATATTAATTCTTACACTTATGATTTGTTTACAGTATGTATATTTTACTTCAATTAGAAAGATCTCTATTAAGATAGTATATATTAAATAAATATACAATATTTTTAGAGTAAATGTAAAGAAACAAAATTCTGATGTTTTTCCTCCTAGATTATGTTTGTTTGTTTAGTAGTGTGGGGGAAGTCTAAGAATTGTGGTCTTTATGGATAACATAAATATTGAGATAGGCATCATCTACATTATAATGTAAGTAAGGAAGAGAGAGATACCCTCACACAAAAACCATGTTTCTTTCTTGCATTGAGGATATTCCTCAAAAGCATGAAATATTCCAGTATGAATGGAGACAATAGAGTAATAAATTCAGTTGTTAGACATGGAAAGAATTGGATTTGGCTCTAACCCATCTATTTGGAGAAAGTGTTAATCTTGAAGTATGAAGGGTGATGAGGGTATTAGAGTAATTAATAAGGTAAAAATTGTTTGTTTTCTGGCTGGCATTATCCACTGTTTATGTTTAAATATTGCCTTGCCATGGAAAAAGATAAAAGAAATTAACAATAACCTAAGGCATGGGTAGATGAACAGATGTATGATACAACAAATATAACAAAATGTTAATTGTAGAATCTAGGTGATGGGTATTGGGTATAAGAGTGTTCACTATTTAGTTTTTTCAAGTTTTATATGTTTGAAATTTTCATAAAATAATGTTGAAAAAAAGTAACCTCTTTGTATTCTGTTTTATTGGTGAGCATCAGAGATGCATAGGGACAATGGTACAAATAATCTAGGAAAAAAGCCAGAAAAGAAAAGATTTACATAATAGGTAAAAATCAAAATTAATGTTCATCATAATTTTCTATAATAAATAAATATATTACTTTCATAGTAGTGCTTTTATTTATGGATAGATTTCTCATAGTGGGATTGATTTTTTTTTTTCTATGTGCTCAACTTTATTAGCTTCACATAAGAGTGAGAACATGTGGTATTTATCTTTCTGTGCCTTATTTATTTCACTTAACATAATGACTTTGTAGGCTAATCTGTGTTGCCACAAGTAACAGTATTTCATTCTTTTTTATGGTTGAGTAGTATTCCATTGTGTATATATACCATAGACCACATTTTCTTTATTCATTCATTTGTTGATGGACATTTAGGTTGATTCCATATCTTGGCTAATGTGAATGGTGCTACAGTAAACGTGGGGGTGCACATATCTCTTCAGTATACTAATTTCCTTTCCTTTGGATAAATATACCCAGTAGTGGGATTACTGGATCACATGGTAGTTCTACATTAGTTTTTTGAGGAAATTCCATACTATTTTCCATAATGGCTGTACTAATTGATATTACCACCAACAACATATGAAGTTCCTTTTTCTCTGCCTTGACAGCATTTGTTATTTTTTGTCTTTATGATAATAACCATTCTAAGATGATGAGATATCTTATTGAGGTTTTGATTTGCATTTCCTTGATGATTAGTGATGTTGAGCGTTTTTTCATGTACCTATTAGCCATTTGTATGTCTTCTTTTGAGAAATGTCTATTCAGTTTATTTGCTTATTTTTTAAGCAGATTATTTGCTTTTTTCACTACTGAGTTGTTTCAGGTCCTTGTATGTTATAGATTTTAGGATTGCTAATTTAAAATCTATGTATACTATGGCTGGTCAGTTAGCTCAGTTGGTTAGAGTGCAATGCTATATAACACCAAGCTTAAGGGTCTGTATCCCATTACTGGCCAGCCACCATTAATAAACAAATAAATAAATCTGTGTACACTACAAATTTTAATAAAAGCTGCCATATTAGATTTTTTAAAACATGGCAGAGCACATTCTCCCCAGAAATATATGAATGCTTTTGTTACTACCTTACTAGTACTGGATATTGAAGTTCTTTTTGGGGGCCAGTCCGATAGATAAAAGATGGTGTCTCATTATTGTATTTCCAAGACTATCAGTGAAGTTTTACCCATTTGCATTTTCTCTTTGTACACTGCCTATTTATTTTCTTTGTCCAGTCTTTTAGGTTCGTTTTACTTTTCTAATCACTTTGTATGAGTTCTTTATAAATTATGGGATATTAATCATGTTTCATGTTTGTTGCAGATGTTTCTCCTAATTAGTTGTTTATCATTTTACTTTGTTTATTACATTTTTGCAATACAGAAAAGTTTTAAATTTTGATATTATAAAATTCTTCTGTTTTTTCCTTTATTGCTTAAGGTTTCTGCCCTCCAAAGATTGCTAAAATATTCTCCTAAGTTTCTTCTAGTAAATTATTATTTGATTTTTTTTACATTTGTAGCTTTAATCCATTTGGAATTTATTTTTGATTCATATTTTTGGGGGTACTTTTGTAGGGTGCATATATGTTTATAATTGTTATGTCTTTTTGATGGATTTACTCTTTTATCATTAGAAAATTTCCTTCTTTGTCCCTAGTAATAATTTTTGTCTTAAAGTCTGTTTTGTCTGATATTAGTATAGCCACTCTAGCTCTCTTTTGAGTATCCTACGCATAGATTAACTTTTTAAACCTTTACTTTCCACCTATTTCTGTTCCTGAGTCTAAACTCTATCTCTAGTATAAGTATAGTTGGATCATGCTTTTTAATCCATTTTGCCAGTCAGCCCTGTTTTGCCCCTTCCAAGGGCTATCAGGTTGCTGATTTTCACCATCATTGTGTGAGCTGTTGGTTTTCAAGGCTGCCATGAAGCTGGAGAGAGGGCATAGAAAAACATAACAAAGCTTGCTGTTATATTGGGCCGGCCTGGTGGCGCACTGCTACAGTGTGCCGCTTGGGAAGTGCGGCAGCGCTCCTGCCGAGGGTTCGGATCCCACATACAGACCGGCTGCTCACTGGCTGAGCGAGGAGCGGGGACAACACCGAGGGTTGCGATCCCGTTGCCGGTCCCGGTCCGGTACGGGTGCTACACTGAGGGTTGCGATTCATTGCCAGTCATGAAAAAAGACAAAAAGACAAAAAAAAAAAAAAAAAGCTTGCTGTTATTACTGAGATTCATTCATTTTTCGTGAATAAATGCTTCCCAGATTGCTGCAAACCTGTGGTTAATTTCCAGAGTTCTGAAAAAGTTGATTTGGCCAATTTGGGTAATTTACTCATTGCTTTCATGGAGAAAAGAATTTTCAGAAATCCTAACTCTGACATTTTTGCTGACATCTTTCTGGAATATATTTTTGTATATGGCATGAAATAAGTATTTACTTATTTTTTTCCTAGATGGATAATCTGTTTCACAGCACAGTTATTAAGTAAATTCTACTTTCCCGCTAAATTAATTGGCATATTTTTTAAGTTTCTTAATAGGACTTGCTTGGACTTGCTTTTGTTTTATCTAATAGATTTGTCAAAAGGAAGTAATTCATTGTCATGTTGGTCAGTTGTTAGCTATGTTAACTTGAGCAAGTTATTTCAAATCCCTAAGCTTCTCTCTTTTTATCTACAAAATAGTGATGATAATCTCATAATGTTGTTAAAAAGATTAAGTTAGAAAATGCTTATCAGGTACCTTGCATAGACTTGGTACATAGTAAGTTCTCAAATATTTTAATTTCATATTGATATTCATAAATACTTTTACATTTAGTGTGGTAGTCAATTTGTAAAAATGACTGTTTTTTAAATTCTGTAATTGCAGTCTTGGATTATATCAATGGAGTGATAAAGTAGTTCGAAAAGTGGAGAGATTATGGGATGTTCGGGATAATAAGAAAGTTCGTCACACTGTGTATCTCCTGGTAACACCTCATGTTGTTGTAAGTATTACTGAACTTCTTCATGTCTCATGAGCCATCTGCTCTTTCCCTTCATTATGATCTTTTCTTTACTAATCATTATTGTTTAAGAACTTATGATTAAGTTTCAGAACCTATAGTAGAAAAAGTAATATAAAGGTAGTATAATAAAGCTACAAGCCAAGAGAAATCTGAGGAAATGGAAACTGCAATGATTCTCATGACCCCCATCCTATCCACTGCTTTAAACCAGTGCCTTTTCTATTGTGATACCTCTTAGGATCATTGGTACTATTTCCATAATTGTTGCTCATTTCATTTGAGGTCTTTGAGTCAAAGTTCTCCAGAGAAATCAAACCAACAGTTTATATATATATATCCAGAGAGAGAGAGATTTCTTTTAAGGAATTGGCTCCCTTGACTATAGAAGCTTGGCAAGTACAAATTTGATGGGATAGGCCAGGAGGCTGGAGACTCAGGAAAGAGTTGCAGTTAATTCCAAAGGCAGAATTACTTCTTGCTTCAGGGAGGTGAGTTTTTGTTCTGTTCAAGCTTTTAACTGATGGATGAGGCTCACCCACATTATGGAGGTAATTTGCTTTAACTCAGAGTCCACCGATTTTAATGTTAACCTCATCCAAACAAACACTTTCACAGAAACATCCAGAATAATGTTTGACCAAATATCTGGGCACTGTGGCCCAGCCAAGTTGACAATAAAATTAACCATCACAGGGTCTTCTTTACCCCCTTATTTAATGACAGAAAGCTGTTCTCCCTTTGCCCTTCCTTGGCTACTCACAGCTCTCTGTGTTTTGAACTTTTGCACTGCTCTTGGGCTATTTCCCATCTCTGGAAATCTCTAACTGAAGGACAGACAAAACCCAATAAGCAAAGTTGTACTCTACTGAACAACTGTTGTTTCCTACAAAGATTACATCCATCATTAATATCCTTTAATTTAATTAATTAATATCCAAATACAGTATGTAAGGAATTCAACTCAATAGCAAGAAAACAAAAAACCCAATTAAAAAATGGGTAAGTCACCACCTGCAGTACAGCAGCCCTCACCAGGGACCTTCCACACTGCTGCACCAGTGAGACAAGCTGCTCCCAGGACCCCCACCCAAGCTGCCTTACTAGCCAGCTTGGCTTTGAATAGGACCCCTGCCGCACCTGCCTGCAGTGAGGTGGTCATAGCCAGGGACTATCCGTGCCACCTCATCAGCCAGACTTGCTGTGTACTGGACCCCTGTCCAAGCCAGCTGGCCCTGCTGTGTGTAGGACACCCGCCATAGTCGCATGTAGTGTGGCTGCTGCTACCATAGCCATCACACCAGCCAGATAGACTGGGTGCAGAACCTCCACCCAGGCTACCGCATCAGCCAAACCGGCAGTGGGTATAATACCCTGCTGATGCTGAAGCGGTAGCCAGCCTAGCTGGGTACAGGACTCCAGCTGCTATCACCTGCACCGTTGCTTCTGCCACAGCCACCACCGGCAGTCATATACACCACTATCAAAGCCACTGCACCACTGATACTGGCTGAGAGCAGGACCCACCACTGTCACCACGCATTGACACAAGAAGGGTCACAAACGGAGACACCAGAAAGAGGTAAGCTAGCACCAATCTACACCCCAGTGACACAATTCACATGGAATTTCACCCCGTGTGCAGTGAACACAACTGCCTTCACCCAGGGAGAGTCACACATGCAAAAACCTGGAGAATACAGAAACCTAGGATAGCAAAATAGTGTACAGAAGAAGATTACCACCAACCCAGCCCCCAACCAAGGAAAGCAAGAACTCAGAAGAAGCCTTGTCCTATAGGAACAAGGAAAGAGAAACCTTGCCTAGGGTCACTCATTAAAGCTGAGGAGATCCAGTATACCCCAATGCACCCAATCATGGTCACGAGCTAGCCAGGGAGCCAACAAGTCCACCTAGACTCAAGGCTCACTCACCCTAGCCAAAGAGTGACAAGGAACACACTTAGCCCATGATCTCAAGAGCTAGCCCACATCATCAACATCCCAACTAACCTCAACAAGAAATTACTAAGGACCCCAGTGACTGCACCACAGAGGCACTCACATGCAACTCCAACATTGAATATGGCAGAAGTACCCACACAGAGACTATGCTACTGAGTTCATCCAGAACCAATACTAATACACCCGACTCAACAATCAATATTAAAACACATCTACAGGAGGAGATCTCTCTCCTCAAAGCCCACTTCAGAGTAATGGAAGAAGCAACTGCTCAACTGGGTGATTAGAAATCAACACAGAGAGACTAGAAATATGAAAAAACAAGGGAATATGACACCACCAAAGGAATACTATAATTCTCAAGTAACAGACCCCATAGAGCAAGACACTCTTGAAATGTCTGCAAAGGAATTTCAAGTAACAATCTTAAACTCAGTGAGTTAAAGAAAGACTTAGTTAGACAACACAATGAAACAAGAAAAACAGTCCAGGACTTGAAGGTTGAAATTTACAAAGAGATTAATTCCATAAAAAGAATGTAGCAGGAATTCCTGGAACTGAAAGACTCAGTGAAATAAAAACTACAATTGAGAGTGTAAGCAGCAGGCTAGAGCAAGTAGAGGAAAGAATTTCTGATCTTGCAGACAGTCTTTTTGAAATAACCCAAGCAGAAAAAAAGAAAAAAAATTTTTTTAAATGAAGAGAATATAAGAGAGCTAGCAGACCACCGTAAACACACAAACATTCAATTCATGGGTATTCTGGAGGGGGAAGAGAAGGGGAAAGACATTGAAAACATATTCAATAAAATAATAGCAGGAAACTTCCCAGGTATTGGTAGAGATATGGACTTCCAGATCCAAGAGGCCCAAAGGTCCCCAAAAAGATTCAGCCCAAAAAGGTTCTCTCTGAGACACATTGTAGTCAAACTGTCAAAAGTCAAAGACAAAGAGAGAATCCTGAAAACAGTAAGAGAAAAGAGTCAAGTCACCTATAAGGGAAGCCTCATCAGATTAACAGCAGACTTCTCAACAGAAACTCTACAGGCCCAAAGAGACTGGAATGATATATTCAAAGTACTAAAAGAAAAAGCTGCCAACCAAGAATACTTTACCCAGCAAAGCTGTCCTTCAGAAATGAAGGGCAAATAGTGTATTTCCCAGACAAACACAAGCTGCAGGAGTTCACCATCACATAAACAGCTCTACGAGAAATTCTTAAGGAAGTCCTGTACCTGGAACCCAAAAAAACGATAATCACCACCATGAATACAGTAGAAAGAACACCACTGGTAGAGCAGATATACAAACAAGAAGGAGAAAGAAACTATACCATACCACCTCAAAAAACCAATAAAAACTGAAGACAATAATAAGAGAAAGAAAGGAATAAAAGGTATTTAAATCAACCACAGGAAAAGTGGTAAATAACAGGTGTAAGACAGTACCTTTCAGTAACAACTCTAAATGTAAATGGATTCAATTTCCCACTCAAAAGACACAGACTGATTGGATTAAAAAGCTAGACCCAAGTATATGCTGTCTTCAGTAGACTCATCTCACTGGTAAAGATGCACACAGACTAATAGTGAAGGGATGGAAAAAGATATACCACACAAATGGGAACCAAAAACGAGCAAGAGTAGTTATTCTTATGTTGTATAAAATAAACTTTAAACCAAAAATCATAAAAAGACAAAGAAGGCAATTATATAATGATAAAAGGATTGATACAGCAAGAAAGCATAACAATCGTAAATATATGCACCCAACACCAGAGCGCCCAGTATATAAAGCAAACACTATTAGATTTTAAGAAAGAATCCCCAATGTGATAATAGTTGGGGACCTGAACACACCTCTCAGCATTGGACTGATCATCTAGGCAATGAATCAACAGAAAAACACAGTATTTAAATTACACCTTAGACCAATGGGACTTGGCAGACAGCTACAGAACATTTCATCCAACACCTACAGAATATACATTCTTTTCATCAGCACATGGAACATTCTCCAGGATAAACCACATGTTAGGTTACAAATCAATTCTCAACATGTTTTTTAAAAATTTAAATCATTTCAAGTAGCTTTTCAGATACAATGGATTAAAACTAGAAATCAGTAACAAATGAAACTCTGGAAACTATACAAACACATGGAAATTAAACAACATGCTCCTGAATGACCCATAGGTCCTAGAAGAAATTAACCAGGAAATCAAAAAATTTTTGGACACTAATGAAAATAAAGACACATCATACCAAAACCTGTGGGATACAGCAAAACCAATACTAAGAGGGAAGTTTATTGCCATAAATGCTTACATCAAAAGAATAAAAAGTTTTGGGCTGGCCCATGGCTCACTTGGAAGAGTGTGGTGCTGATAACACCAAGGCCACAGGTTCGGATCCCTATATAGGGATGGCCAGTTAGCTCACTTGGGAGAGCGTGGTGCTGACAACACCAAGTCAAGGGTTAAGATCCCGTTACCAGTCGTCTCTTTAAAAAAAAAAAAATAATAGAAAGTTTTCAAATAAACAACCTAGAAAAACAAGAACAATCTAACCCCAAAATTAGTAAACGAAAAGAAATAATTAAGATCAGAGCAGAACTAAATGAAATAGAGACCCCAGAAAAATAATACAAAAGATCAATGAGACAAAAAGTTGGTTTTTTGAGAGCACAAACGAAATAGACAAACCATTAGCAAGGCTAACTAAAAGAGAAGAGAGAAGACCCAAATAACCAAAATCATAAATGAAAGAGGAGACATTACAACTGAGACTACAGAAATACAAAGAATCATTAAAGACTATTACAAATAACTGTGCCATCAAATTTGAAATCCTGGAGGAAATGAATAAATTTCTTGACACATGCAAATTACCAAGACTGAACCAAGAAGACACAGAAAACCTGAACAGACCAATAACAAGCAATGAGATTGAAGTGGTAATCAGCAGTCTCCCAACAAAGAAAAGCCCAGGACCAGATGGCTTTACTGCTGAATTCTACCAAACCTTTAAAGAGGAATTAATATCAGTTCTCTTCAAGCTATTCCAAAAAATTGAAACAGAATCCATTCTCCCAAACTTATTCTATGAGGCCAGCATCACCCTGATTCCAAAGCCAGACAAAGATACAACAAATAAAGAAAACTACAGGCCATTATCATTGATGAATATAGATGTAAAAATCCTCAACAAAATACTAGCAATCAGAATGCAGCAACACATCAAAAAAATTATACACCATGATCAAGTGAGATTCATCCCAGAGATGCAAGGATGGTTCAACATACACAAGTCAATAAATGTGATACACTACATCAACCGAATCAATGACAAAAACCATATCATTATCTCTATAAATGCAGAAAAAGCATCTAACAGAATTCAACATCCCTTTATGACAAAGATTCTTAGCAAATTAGGTATAGGAGGAAAATATCTCGACACAATAAAAGCCATATATGACAAACCCACTGCCAATATCATCCTGAATGGGAAAAAGCTGAAAGCTTTTCCCTTAAGGACAGGAACAAGACAAGGATCGACTGTCACCACTCCTATTTAACATAGTATTGGAAGTACTAGCCACAGCAATCAGGCAAGGGAAAGAAATAAAGGTCATCCAGATTGGAAAAGATGAAGTCAAACTGTCCCTGTTTGCAGATGACATGATCCTATATAGAGAAAAACCTATACTCTACCTAAAAACTCTTAGAGCAGATAAATGATTTCAGTAAAGTTGCAGGATACAAAATCAACACCCAAAAGTCAGTGGCATTTTTATACTCCAATAACAAATGAGCAGAAAAAGGAATCAAGAAAGCAAGCCCATTTACAGTAGTCACCAAAAAAATAAAATACCTAAGAATCAATTTAACCAAGGAGGCGAAAGATCTACTACAATGAGAACTACTAAAAGAAATTAAAGAGGACACAAAAAGGTGGAAAGACATACCATGCTCTTGGATTGGAAGAATTAACATTGTGAAAATATCCATACTACCCAAAGCAATCTACAGGTTAAAGCATTCCCTATCAAAATACCAATGACATTCTTCACAAAAACAGAAAAAACAATCCTAACATTCATATGGAACCACAAAAGACCCTGAACAGCCAAAGCAATTCTGGGCAAAAAAATAAAGCCAGAGGCATAACACTTCCTTACTTCAAACTATCCTACAGGGGCCAGCCCAGTGGCGCACTGCTATAGTGCGCCGCTTGGGAAGCGCGGCGGCGCTCCCGCCGAGGGTTCGGATCCCACATATAGACCGGTTCCCACTCACTGGCTGGGCAAGGCGCGGGAGTAACACCGAGGGCTGCGATCCCGTTGCCGGTCCCAGTCCGGTACGGGGGCGACACTGAGGGTTGCGATCCGTTGCCGGACACAGAAAAAAAAAAAAAAAAAGACAAACTATCCTACAAAGCTATAGTAACCAAAACAGCATATACTGGCATAAAAACAGAAACTCAGACCAATGAGACAGAATAGAGAACCCAGAAATCAACCCACATTCTTATAACCAACTGATATTTGACAAAAACAAGATCATACATTGGTGAAAAGACTGCCTCTTCAATGAACGGTGCTAGGAAAACTGGACATCCGTGTGCAAAAGAATGAAACTGAACATGTACCTCTCACCATCTACCAAAATCAACTCAAAATGGATTAAAGACTTAAATATAAGACCTGAAACTATAGAACTCTTAAAGGAAAACATAGAGGAAACACTTCAGGAAGTAGGACTGGCAAAGATTTTATGAATATGACACCAAAAGCACAGGCACAGAAGAAAAAAAACAAATGGGATTATATCAAACTAAAAAGCATCTGCACAGCAAAAGAAACAATTAACAGAGCAAAAAGACAGCCTACAGAATGGGAGAAAATATTTGCAAACTATGCATCTGACAAGGGATTAATATCCAGAATATATAAAGAACTGAAACAACTCAACAGTAAGAAAACAAGTAACCCAATTTAAACATGGGCAAAGTAACTGAGTAGACATCTCTCATATGAAGATATACAAATGACCAACAGACACATGAAAAAATGTTCAACATCAGGGAAATGCAAATCAAAACCACACTGAGATATCATCTCACCCCAGTTAGACTGGCTATTATCAAGAAGATAAAGAATAAGAAATGCTGGTGAAGTAGTAGAGAAAGGGGAACCCTCCTGCACTGTTGTGGGACTGTAAAGCCATTATGGAAAACAGTATGAAGTTTCCTCAAACAACTACAGATAAAATTGCCATAGGACCCAGCAATCCCATTGTTGGGTATATACCCAAAGGAATGGAAATCATCATGTTGAAGGAATACCTGCACTCCCATGTTTACTATAGCTCTATTTACAATAGAGGACAGTTGGAATCAACCAGAAAATCCATTGACAGATGACTGGATAAGGAAAATATGGTATATATACTCAATGGAATACTACTCTGCCATAAAAAAGAATGAAATTCTGCCATTTGCAACAACATGGCTGAATTTGGAGAAAATTACATTAAGTGAAATTAGCCAGGCACAGAAAGAGAAATACCACACATCCTCACTCATAAGTAGGAGCTAAAATAAACAATCACAATAATATATTAAACTTTCAAAAAAAAAAAAACAACTGTGGTTATTAGAGGTGGGAAGGGGGTGGAGAGAAACTAAAGGGTCACAAACATTGATTATTTTGTAAACATGAGTGTAGTAATTATTCTGGTTTGGTCACCACATATTGTACATATATATTGATATTCGATTCTGTACCCCACAAATATATATAATCAATAAAAATAAACTTTTTTAAAAACTAAAAAAAAAGGTGGAGGTGGCAAGGGACTCAAATAGACATTTCTCAAAAGAGGACAGACATATAAATGGCCAACAGATACATTTAAAAAATGCTCAACATTGCTAACCATTAGGGAAATGCAGGTTAAAACCACAATGAGATATGCCTGTCAGAATAGCTATTATAAAAAAGGTGAAAGATAAGTGTTGGCAAGAATGTGGAGAAAAGGGAATCCTGGTACACTTTTGGCAGGAATGTAAATTAGGACAGCCGTTATGGAAAACTGTATGGAGGTTCCTCAAAATACTAAAAATGGAATTACCGTATGATCAGCAATCCCACTTCTTGGTATTTACCCAAAGATTTGAAATCAGTTTGTCAAAGAGAAGCCTGCATTCCCATGTTCATTACAGCACTATTAACAATAGCCAAGATATGGAATCAACCTAAGTGTCCATCATCAGATGAGTGGATAAAGAAAACGTGGTATATATACACAATGGAATACTATTCAGCCTTATAAAATAGGGAAATTCTGTCACTTGTGGCAACATGAATGGAATTGGAAAACATGTTGAGTGAAATAAGCCAGGCACAGATAGACAGATATCACATGTGTGATCTAAAACAATCAAACTCATAAACTGAAGGTAGAATAGTGCTTACATTAGCTGGGAGTTTGGGAGAATGGGGAGTTGATGGTCAAAGGATACAAAATCTCGGACAGAAGGAATAAGGTTTTGGGGGGATCTGTTACACAGCATGGTGAATATAGTCAATAATAGTGTATTTTACATTTCAAAATTTCTGAGACTAAATATCAAATGTTCTCACCACAAAAAATAAGTAAAAATAAGAAAATGGATATATTAATTAGTTCAGTTATTTCACATTGTGTTCATAAATCATAACATCACTTTGTACCCCATAAATATATACAATTATAAATTGACAACAATAAAAATTGTTTTAAATTGTTGACACAAGAATTATAAGTGGTGATCATACTAGTTTACAACTTTTTAAAAATACAAGTGAATTAAAGTCAAAAACTTTCATAGACAGTAAACTATATTAAGAGAAATAGTAATTCTCTAGCGAAGAAGAGTGTGACAGCATCAAAACATTTTATTTAATTATATTAAAAACCATATTTTTAACAGAAGTTCTCTCTTCTCACCAAAGTAATTCTATGATGTTTACTTTATCATATACATGTGATAAAAAGAGTGCCATAATCTTGGGCTGAACCCATGGCTCACTCAGGAGAGTGCGGCGCTAGGAGCGCCGAGGCCACAGGTTCGGATCCTATATAGGGATGGCCGGTGCGCTCACTGGCTGAGCGCAGTGCGGACAACACCCTGCCAAGGGTTGCAATCACCTTACTGGTCACAAAAGAAAAAAAAAAAAGGTGCCATAATCTTACTGGGGTTTTTGTGGGTATATATATACATAAATGTTTTTTTGTTTTTTGGGGTTTTTTTATTCTTAGGATGAAGCACGAAAACATTTTAACTGTCCAATTTTAGAGGGAATGGAACTTGAAAATCAAGGTGGTCTGGGCACTGAGCTCAACCATTGGGAAAAGCGGTTATTGGAAGTAAGTATATTTTAAAATTTTACTGGACATTTTCTATTTAACAGAAGTAATTCAAACTCATTGTAAATGTTATTCAGACAGGTTATAAAGTAAAAAATTAAAACCTTCCTTTTCCCCTTCAGCTTTCCAGATCCATTTTCCAGATGTAATCACAATTTAAGTTTTTTGTATATCCTTCCATTTATGTATATGTGTATGTATGTATATATATATACACACACACATACACGCACACAGTTTTTTCAAAAATGGGTTCATACATTTATGCCACTTTTTTCACTTAATGATATATCTTAGACATCTCTCCAAGGCATTGCAGGTGCCTCTACTGTAATGCAATGTATGCTTTCCTAAAAAACTTCTTTCTTCAAAATTGGAAGATGTATGGGAAAAATAAGCGCCTATAGTGCTAACAAAAAGAGTAAGTCATACTAAAACTACTAACTCAGTTTAAAAAAAGACATCAAATTTCCAATAAGTCCAGTCCTGTATCCACTCTAATATTTCCTTATCTTCAACAACACAAAACAATAACAACAATAAGCAATGATTAACTGGATGGGTGATTGTAAATCTGAGTAGTGGGGATGAGGGTAAAATGTACAAAGATTCAAGAGAACTATGCAGTAAACACTTCCAGATAGAGCCTTAGCCATACTTAGCCAAGAAAAAGAAGATGGAGTGAACAAGCATTCTACACAGTAAAGCATTCTTCTGTCGCTGTGATCAGCTATCTTAGTGTACTTTGTATTTAGCTGCTTTGCTTCATTGTAAAAATATTAATATCCGGGGAATAGTCATTATGAACCAACATGATTCCATGTTATACTAATATTTATTAATATACTAATATTTACTAATATCACTAATTTACTAATCTGTTAAATTTACTAATCTCACATGAGCTCATTCACATTGCAGAAACACGTGCTTTAGCAGAATAGACTGTATACTTGGGTCTACTCATTTTTCAGTAGCTACATAGTATTGTATCATGAATATAACATAACAGTCCTGTGTTAATGAATATTTTTAATGTTTTTTTATTTTAAAAAATGTTGTAATGAGCATCTTATTTTTATCTGCAATGCCTTCCAAGGGTGGTGTTTCATCAGGTGTTCTTTTTTTTATCCTTTTCTGGCAGCTGGCTGGTACGGGGATCGAGCTGTGGACCTTGGTGTTATCAGTACCACTCTCTAACCAATTGAGCTAACCAGCCAGCCCTATCAAATGTTCTTAGGTTCAACTAAACAATCAAACTCATAAGACCTTAACAGGCTACATTAAACAAAGTTTCCCTTAAAAGGACATTAGAAAGAACATACACCATGCCAGCACAGTAGAGTCAGGCGTTTTTCTCTTGTGCTGCACACAGCAGTCTAGGGACTGTCATCTTAGCCTCTCTCCACCCGCTCCAGCCCAAGTACAGGAGCGCAAGACCACAGAAAATGAATGTGAGAACCAGCCTGGCTTAAAAATACTGTCCCCAAAAGGAACCAATATCTTTTTTAACAGTTCCAAAAATGTAACTTTCAGATCCCTATAAGGGACATACCCATAAGAGTCACTGCACACAGGGAAGTCCCAAATTGTGGCTTACCAAGTATTCATATTCATTTACAGTAATCCCAAGTCCAGAAGCATATCAGGAGGTCTTTTTTTCCTTCAGTATGGCTGCCTGGTAACAGCTGATATTCCACCTTTATTAGGTTTCCAGGGGAACAGAACTAGAAAGTTCACCCAAGGTCAGATTTCTTTACATAGAAAGAGAAAAGATAAACCCATGGAAGTGGAATTTCTGGTTAGATGATTGCAGCTTACACACATTATGACTGTAGTTAGTAAAATTACAAAAAGAGTGAAATTAATGTTTGTGCTTACTGTTCTTATATAGGAGACTACAAAGTAGCAGTGATGGAAATTTATAGATGATTTCAGTTTCTTTATTTTCTTTAAAGAATTTTCTCAAGTGATTCCCTTTAGAAAACTGTAGATTGGCTAGAAAAGAATATTTATGTAATTTTCGGTAGAAGATCTCAGAGTGGGGCTGGCCTGTGGCTCACTCAGGAGAGTGTGGTGCTGATAACACCAAGGCCACAGGTTCAGATCCCTATGTAGGGATTGGGCCAGTTAGCTCACTTGGGAGAGCGACAACACCAAGCCAACGGTTAAGGTCCCCTTACTGGTCATCTTTTAAAAAAAACCTTAATTGGGCCGGCCCGTGGCTCACTCAGGAGAGTGTGGTGCTGATAACACCAAGGCCATGGGTTCAGATCCCTATGTAGGGATTGGGCCAGTTAGCTCACTTGGGAGAGCGACAACACCAAGCCAACGGTTAAGGTCCCCTTACTGGTCATCTTTTAAAAAAAACCTTAATTGGGCCGGCCCGTGGCTCACTCAGGAGAGTGTGGTGCTGATAACACCAAGGCCATGGGTTCAGATCCCTATGTAGGGATTGGGCCAGTTAGCTCACTTGGGAGAGCGACAACACCAAGCCAACGGTTAAGGTCCCCTTACTGGTCATCTTTTAAAAAAAACCTTAATTGGGCCGGCCCGTGGCTCACTCAGGAGAGTGTGGTGCTGATAACACCAAGGCCATGGGTTCAGATCCCTAAGAGTAATAATTTCATCAATGTCTTCCTTTCTCAGAAATCAACTTTGTGTCCTGGAACTATTTTTCTTTAAAAGGGTGGTAGTACTAAAAAAATTTTCTTTAATTAAATAATAAATTTTTTTTAAAGTTTGGTAGTAAAGAACTAGAGATGACCATCCAATGTTCAGTGTAAGCATTCAAAGATCAGAGCTGTCTGAAGATGAAATATGCTCTCTTAAAAGGCAGTGAAGTCCCCACCATTAGGTGACCTCCTGGTAGGAATTTTATGATATATATTAAAATATTGGGTAGATAGCAGATCTTGATGATATTTTAGATCCCTCATGTGAATCCTTTGATCTCATGATTCTGTCATACTTGTTTTGCATTAGTGTATGTTTGTGTGAGCACAAAGTTGAGGATTTTGAAAGTATTTTCTGTGTTATTCAGACAGGTATTTCCCCCAACCCCAAGTTATCTGGACATCTGTCTTAACCATGCCCTTTACTTTGCCTAAAGAGTATAATATTTTTACAGTATTTCTATTTCCATATATTTATCTTCATTTTTGCCACAGAATTCTAAATGCCAGTTGCCTACCATTGCAGGGAAATTGTATACAATGGAGACATTTGAAACAGAAAATAGATTTCACTTTAAGCTTAAGAACAGCCATTTTAAAGAGCATTTATATATTTCGTCAGCTTCTCACATTTGAAGCATTTTACGTAACATCAGAGGAATCACAGAAATTTGGGGGAGTTGCAAAGAATCCTTTCTTCTAATTAAAATCTGTTGGTGACTTTCAGAATGAAGCAATGACTGGTTCTCACACCCAGAACCGAGTCCTCTCTCGAATCACTCTGGCGTTAATGGAGGACACTGGGTAAGACGGCTGTGAGAATATGATAAGAATTGCTTATTGAAATGAAATTAATGTTAAGATTATAGCTTAAGAAAATGCTGACAGTTTACACTGAAGTAAAATTTACTTATTCTTTGAATCTTGTGTAGTTAACTATCCATTATCTATACCAGCTTCATTCATTTATTCAATAAATGTTTGAGGTCCTGTGGTATAGTAACAAATAGAACAAAATCCCTGATGTTATGAGATTTCTTTTTTGGGTGGCTGGCTGGTACAGATTTATTTTCTAATAAACAGACACCATGCTAATATGAAGGAAAGACTAAAGTTTTAAAATTGTAAATGAAACTGGTGATGTACAGATTCCTGGTTGTGTTTTGTTTCAATTTTTTAATTTTAATTTTAATTTTATTTTATTATTATCTTTTTTTTTTTTTTTTTTTTTTTTTTTTACGACCGGTAAGGGGATCGTATCCCTTGGCTTGGTGTCGCCCGCACCACGCTCAGCCATTGAGTGCACCGGCCATCCCTATATAGGATCCGAACCCGCAGCCTCAGCACTCCCAGCGCCGCAGTCTCCCGAGTGAGCCATGGGGTCGCCCCTTATTATCTTTTTTTTCAAGATGACCAGTAAGGGGATCTTAACCCCTGACTTGGTGTTGTCAGCACCACGCTCTCCCGAGTGAGCCAAGGGCCGGCCTTTAATTTTTTTTTTTTTTTTTGTCTTTTGTCTTTTTCCGTGTCCGGCAACGGATCGCAACCCTCAGGGTTGCCCCCGTACCGGACCGGGGACCGGCAACGGGATCGCAACCCTTGGTGTTGCTCCCGCACCTCGCTCAGCCAGTGAGCAGGAACCGGTCTGTATGTGGGATCCGAACCCTCGGGCGGGAGCGCCGCCACGCTTCCCAAGCGGCGCACTATCCAGTGTGCCACCAGGCCGGCCCTAATTTTTATTTTTTATGGTGCTTTTCTTTTTTCAGTGGCTGACCAATACAGAGGTTCCTGTTGTTTAAAGCAGTCAAATTTTCTGGAAAAATAGTGAAATACTGTTTTTAAATGGAATCTTTTACAGAGCCCCTACATATTAAACAGATGAAAGCAGAGCTGCTTTAGTTGAAGCATTATTGCCTTTTGCTCTAACAGTGCCTGAGGGAACATTTGAAAATGGAATCGAATTTGAAAATCAGTGGGAGTGGTGTTACTAACACCACAAAAATTGTTGACATTACCTTAGTTTCTGGGGGGTCAAATAGGCAGAAGGCTTTAAAAATACAGAGGTCATTGTTGACCCTCAAAACAGCTTTAATAAAAATGGAAGAGACTGATAAGTTCTCAGGCCGAGCTTAGAAGAAAGAGGAAGATATGGGTATGAAAGGGTATTATTAATATAGCTTCTTCCCTGAGAATGCAAGATGGGTGAGATCCAGAGAATCAAGAGATAATTATCTTGAATGGAAGAAGAGACACCACACTGTCCGTTAATTCAGGAAGAAAGAATAGGAGTGAGAGCACAAGTCATTTTACAGGTAGAGAAAGTGAAGTTCAGAAATTATCATCACCCTGTTACCTGTAACCTGGATTCAACAGTGATTAAGATGTTGTCATATTTGCAACGTTCTTTCTTTTATTTTCCAAATCATAGACATCAAGTCATTTCACCCCTTTATGCTCTAGCATGAGTCCAAAAATATGGACAATAGCAATAAGAAAATTAACAATAATTTTCTGATATCATCTAACAACTAGTTCATAATTATATATCCCCTTTACCTCTTTTTCAACTGGTTTGTTTAAATCGGGATCCAAATAAGATCCTGATTAATTGTTACATCTATTAAGTCTTTTAGTCTAGAGCAGTCCCTGCACACCGTTTTTCATGCTGTTAATTTATTGCAGAACCAGGTCAGTTGTCCAAAGAATGTCCCAAATTCCAGATTTGCTTATACGAGTATATTTCTTTGTTCTACATTTTCCTGTATTTCTTGTAAATAGAAGTTAGCTCTAGATGCTTGATTAGATTCAGGTTTAGCTTATTTGTTTACTTGCAAGATTACTTCATAAGTGATGTTGAGTGCATGCAATGTCTACTTTTCACACTGTGGTCATACTGTGATTGATTAGTGCATTCAGATGGTTACTGCCTGCTACCTCCATTTCAAAGTTCTCCATCAACCTTTTGTGTAACTTTTTCATCCATTAATGATTGTTTTCCAAATCAGTTAATTCTTTAAGGGTTTATACAGTGGTACTTTTCTAATTCTACCATTCTCCACTTTTATTAACTGTAATTCTGTACAGAGTTTTCCCTCATAAACCAGGGCTAATTTGTTAACCTAGAAATATAGTTTGTAACAATAAAGGTAAGACAAATAGTTAATTATGTTCTTTCATTTTGTGATTTTTAAATTTTTTTTTTATTTTTTTGTTGTTGTTGGCTGGTACGGGGATCCAAATCCGTGACCTTGGTGTTATAAGCCTGTGCTCTAACCAACTGAGCTAACCAGCCAGTCCAATTCTTTTAATTGCCAATTTTTCACTTTTTAAAAAAATTTTTTTATCTTTTTGCACCTGGCAAGTACAGTGATCCAAACTCATGACCTCCAATTTTTCAGATAAAGGGTTTGTGCCATGGGTATTTTCAATGATGTCCAGTGATTTTTTGAAACAATTTTTTTTTTTCATGAGAAGGGCTTTCGCTTTCTCTTTCAATGTTATGAAGTTAGAGCTTTTCTTATGCTTCAGACAGTTGTATTCATTATTGCTTTTGATGCTCATATTGCCCTATCGTTAGCCAATAGGAGTATTTTTCTTTGTTGGCTTCTGACTCCTTTTGACAAGACTCATTAGTTTTTGATAGTCTTCCTTGCTTTCTGGTGTGACAAGATGTACCAGGCTGATCAGCACATGCTGTATCCTAGATCTGCGCATTTGCCAGTCTTTCAGGGATCATTGGTTCCTTTTAATGGAAAAGAATGTTTACAAACCACAATCTAGTCACCGTGTTCATTGCTACTGGATTGTCATTGCTTCTATCCTTTTCAGTAGACCAAGTTAGGGAATTCATTTTTTTGAGAAGAAAAAAAAATCAGAAATTATCAAAACATTGGATTCCTTTTAGTGCCTTTATAACCCTTTCCCCCTTTATCTCTGAATAAGCAGTGGCCAGCATGAGTCATCCCACTGCCCTGTTTAACAACCCTTTTGTAAACAATGCTAGTTTTTTTAGTTTTTTTAATCACTGGACATCATTGAAAATACTCAGGGCACAAACTCTTTATTTAAAAAATTGGCGGTTAAAAGGAAAGAATTAACCATTTATCTTATCTTTATTGTTACAAACTATATTTCTGGGTTAAAAAATTAGCCCTGGTTTATGAAGGAAAACACTGTACAGAATTACAGTTAATAAAATTGGAAAGAATGGTAGGAAATGGAAGCACCGTGGAGTGTGAACCACTAGTGAAATCATGGTACCAGTGAAGTTTAAAGCATTTTTTGATTTTCTGAGGCAATACAGCAGCAACATAGATCAGATTTTTCTAAATATCTGGCTATACTTATGAATTATGGACATAGAAATTAATTTTCATATCTATGACTTCAGTGTAGCTTAACTAATAAGTTGCTTCTCCCAGTAAACGACATTATCATTCATCCATCCAGAAACCTGAGAGTCATCCTTGATCTCTCTCCACATCTCTCACATTTAATCAATCACAAATCTTGATGATTTTTAGCTCTTCAGTACCCTGGAGTCTGCCTACTTTTTTGGTCACCACTGCCTTTATCTAGGTCACTATTATCTTTTGCCTGGATTGCTATGGTAGCTTTTCAAAATCTGTCTCCATGCATATTAAGTGACCGAAGGCCTTCACACATTCTCCACAGTGTCCTTTAGAAGTTTTTATGGCATAGTGTCTCACCAAGTAAGAAATACATCATGACCAATGTATATACATATATGTATGGTGACTAAGAGCACAGATGTTGACAAAGGTGCCAAGACCATTCAATGGAAAAAGAACAGTTTTTTCAACAAATGATGCTGGGACAACTGGATATCTGCATGCAAAGTAATGAATAGCTGTGGTACATGATATGCAAAAACTAACTTAGAATGGATTGAAGACCTACATATAAGAGCTAAAACTGTAAAATGCTTAGAAGGAAACATAGGTGTAAATCTTCATGATATTGGATTAGGCAATGATTTCTTAGATATGATACCAAAGGCTCAAGCAACCAAAGAAAAAATAGAAAAATTGGACTTCGTGAAAATTGAAAACATTTATGCTTCAAAGAACACTATCAAGAAAGTGAAAAGATAACTCACAGAATAGGAGAAAATACTCGTATTTGCAATTCATCTGTCTAATAAGGGTCGAATATCCAGAATATGTATAAGAACCCTTACAACTCAACAGTAAAATAGCAATCCAATTTAAAAATGGGTGAAGGATTTGAACAGATATTTCCCCAAAGAAGATATACAAATAAGCATATGAAAAGATATTCAACATCATTAGGGAACTACATATCAAAACAATAATGAGATACTACTACACATGCATTAGAATGGTAAAAATCCCAAACACCGACAAATCCAAATGCTGACAAGGATGTAGAGCAACAGAAGCTCTCATTCGTTATTGGTGGGAATGCAAAATGATATAGCCACTTTGAAAGACAATTTGGCAGTTTCTCACAAAACTAAACAGATTCATACCATACGATCCAGCAGTCATGCTCCTTGGTATTTACCAAAATGAATTGAAAACTTATTTCCACACAGAAGCCTGCACACAGATATTTGTAATAGCTTTACTCATTATTGCCAAAACTTGGAAGCAACCAAGATGTCCTTCAATAGGTGAATGGATAAAGTGTAGTACATCCAGACAATGTAATATTATTCAGCACTAAAAAAGTAATGAGGTATCAAGCCATGAAAAGACATGGAGGAACTTTAAATGCATATTACTAAGTCAAAGAAGCCAATATGAAAAGGCTACAAAATATACAATTCCAATGATATGACATTCTGGAAATGGCAAAACTATGGAGGCAATAAAAGATAAGTGGTTGTCAGGGGTAAGTGGGAGAGAGATGGATTAATAGGCAGAGCACAGAGGATTATTTGGGCAGTGAAACTATTCTGTGTGATACTGTAATGATGGATACATGTCATTATACATTTTTTAAAACCTATAGAATGTAAAACAGCAAGAGTGAACCCTAACATCAACTATGGACTTTGGGTGATAATGATGTGTCAGTGTAGGCTCATCGATTGTGACAAATATATTCCCTCTGGTGAGGCATGTTGATAGTGGAGGAGCTTCTGAGTGTGCAGTGGGGTGGGTAGATAGGAGGTATATAGGGACTCTATGTACCTTTTACTCAATTTTGCTGTGAACCTAAAACTGCTCTAAATAAAGTCTGGGAAAAAGAAAAAAATAAAAAAGAAATGAAGTCCTAATAAATGCTGCAACATGTATATCCACCTTGAAAACATTATGTTAAGTGAAAGAAGCCAGACACAAAAGGCCATATTCTATTTCTCTGAAATGCTCAGAATAGGCAAATCCATAGGGACAGAAAGTAGATTAGTAGTTGTCAGGGGCTGGGGATGGAGCGTATATGGTTTCTTTGGGGGTGATGAAAATGTTCTGAAATTAGATCATGGTAATGGTTGCACAGCCTTGTGAATATACTAAAAAGCATTGAATTGTGCACATTACAAATGTGAATTTTATGGTATGTGAATTATACCTCCGTTTTTTAAAAAGGCACACAGACATTGAAGCGAACACCATATATTCAAATCCCAGCATTGCCACTTGTGTCTTTGCCTCAGTTTCCTCATCTGTAAATAAGGACATAACTAATACCTATCTCATAGAGTTTTATGAGGGTTAACTCAGTTAATGTATGTAAAGCCTTTAATACAGTACTTGGCACATTGTAAGTGCTAAGTATTAGCATTACATATAAAACTGAACCAAAGTCTCAAGAAATAATATTTACCCTTATTACCTACAGTGAAGTTCCTTTTTCTGTTCTACTGATTTTAAAAGACAGAAAGAAAGAACTGTTAATCAAGATCCTCGGGCCAGCCCGGTGGCGCACTGCTACAGAGCACTGCTTGGGAGCGTGGTGGCGCTCCCGCCGAGGGTTCAGATCCCACATACAAACTGGTTCCCGCTCACTGGCTGAGCGAGGTGTGGGAGCAACGCCGAGGGTTGCGATCCCATTGCCGGTCCCGGTCCGGTATGGGCGCAACACTGAGGGTTGCGATCCGTTGCCGGACACGAAAAAAGACAAAAAGGGAAAAAAAAAAAAAAAAAAAAAAACAAGATCCTCTAAGTTGGTTTCACAACTCACTGATACCACGAGGAAACCCTCTGTTTGTAATGCTCGCTTGCTTCCTCAGCTAACTCATGCTCATCCTTCTAGGTGTAGCTTAAAGTTGCTTCCTGAGAAAAAACCTTTTCCCCCAGGCTAGCTTAGGTTTCTCTATTAATATACTCCTATTAGGACTTTATACTTCTCCTTTAGAATACTCATCACGCTTAAAATGTTTTGTCTTAATATCTGTCTTCCCCACTAGTTTATAATCTTCATGAGAGCAGGAGTTATGTTTATTTATTCACTATTGTAACCTTAGCACTTAGCAAAGTGCCTAGCATATAACAATTGCTTACCCACTGTTGACTGATGGTACAAGAAGGGCTGCAAAGAAAAGATCATCAAAAAGGTCTCATGATATGTAGCTGAAGTGCCTACCTGGTGATTGACTAGCACAGTGCTGACACTATACCTTGCGCTTTTCAACCTATACTAAATATTGTAATTCCCAAGGAGGGGGATCTAATTACTTTACATTTTATCCATAGGGCTGAGGACTTCCTAACCTAGGCAGTAATAAATTACTGCTAGTATGCAAGATTAGGGATAATTTCTATCTGGATAACTTAACCTTGCTGTAATACCAAGTTAGCTAATTAATGTCACTCACATTGTAGCTGCAGAGGTTGCAGGTATTTTGGTATTGGAGTACTGGGATTTATTTCTTCAGTTTCTCTCTGAGCAAGAGAGTTCTGCTCTTTGAAAGTGGAGAACATTGGGAAGATGTTATATCACATATTTCTGCTTTTGTGTGATTTCATGGGAAGGTGGCTGGAGTGGAAGGGATGATTCTTATCATTTCCCAGCCTTTGAGTCTAAGTTTTATTTACTGTTTTGGTAATGCTAAAAGGACAAGACATAATACAGGTTAGAAACTATTTCATATGGGCCGACCCTGTGGCTCACTTGGGAGAGTGCGGCGCTGGGAGCTCAGCCGCGCTAGCACCGAGGCCGCAGGTTCGGATCCTATGTAGGGATGGCTGGTGCACTCACTGACTGAGCGCGGTGCGGGCAACACCAAGCCAAGGGTTATGAATCCCTTACCGGTCACACGCACACACACAAAAGAAACTATTTTGTATAATTTTATAACTTTTGCTAACTAATCTTGTCCCTAAGAATGAAGAAAACTAGTAAGAGTAGGCTCACTGCCTTTGATTAAATTTGTCAGGAAACTAAATCAATGTTTTATTTTTTCTGAAATTAAAGCATTTTAAAAGTCTTGGGCTTAGTATTCATTTGTCTTATTATAATGGTGTAATGTTCAGTCATAAACAAGAGCTGTATTGATAGAATATCACAGATTCAAGGTCAGAAGAACAGGAAACTAGGTCCAACTAGGTCCAATCAGATTAGGTAAAGGCTAGCCAAATAGTAATTTCACTGTTTCTTCCTCACTGTGCTCACTTCTGTTTCTACGTTCTCTTTCTGTTTCTTTGGTCCTCATTCCCCTTGTCTCACATTGTAACTACTTTCTACTCTGTGACTTCTATCACTTCTGAAAATTACAATGGAAACATGTTTGTTTTGTTTTCCAAATATAAAAAGTACCTTAACCATAAGACTGGTTACCCAGTCCCTGCTACAGTGATCCCTCTAGCAGCAATCCCTCTGAAGCACAGGCTTTGTAAATGGTCATCTCTGGTCATGGCCTCCAAAGTCTTTTTTAAGGTCCTAATTTGCTCATCGTTGAGATTCGTAATTGCTATGCTAAAGTTGCTTTTAAAATGACAGCAATAAAAAGTGCTTTGAATTATTTCCACAGCTGGTATAAAGCAAATTACAGCATGGCTGAGAAGTTAGACTGGGGCCGAGGAATGGGCTGTGACTTTGTCAGGAAGAGCTGTAAATTTTGGATTGATCAGCAGAGACAGAAGTAAGAATACATTTCCTCACAGTGTCTTTGATTACACAATTCATTTCTGATTTCGTTCTTTATCCTAAGCCTAAAATGTCAACTATTTTCAAAATGTGGTCTGAGCAGTTCAATTTCAAAATATGTGGAAAATCACCTACAGGTGCTTGGTAATAATATCATAATAAGTAGCTGCAGTATTGTTTTTAATCTTATATAAAAAGAATCCACAGTGAGGGGCCCGGAGCCATAAACATTTCTGTTTAGCTTATAATTCATAAATTTACATATTTTACAAGTTTTTTTGCAATCTCTGTCATTCTTATTGTTTTCTTCAGAGAATGCACACATAAACAAAGATGTAAATGTTGACTCAAGATCAAAGAAACTAAAGGTATTTATGGATAGTGGTTCTCAAATCTGTATACACATCATAATGACCTAGCAAGCTTTTTTTTTTTTTTTTTTTTTTTTTCCTTTTTGTCTTTTTTCATGACCGGCAACAGATCACAACCCTCAGTGTCGCGCCCGGACCGGACTGGGACCGGCAATGGGATCGCAACCCTTGGTGTTGCGCCCGCACCTCGCTCAGCCAGTGAGCAGCCGGTCTGTATGTGGGATCCGAACCCTCGGCGGGAGCGCCACCGCACTCCCAAGCGGCGCACTGTAGCAGTGTGCCACCGGGCCGGCCCCCTAGCAAGCTTTTTAAAAATACATAGTATCCAAGTTTGGGGAGAAAATTTATGTGTGTGTGTATTTGTATACACATACACATATTTAAAGAGTAGATAAACACATGTTTAAACACACATGTTTAAAGAGTAGGTAGGATCTCTGTATATTTTTCACCACATGATCTCAAAATAAAAGTTAAATATAAGGGGCTGTCTGGTTAGCTCAGTTGGTTAGAGTGCCAAAAATCAGAAGAAAGAATGATATAACAAAGAGCAGAAATCAATGAATTTGAAAACAGAAAAGCAATAGAAGACATTAGCAGAAAAACTTTAAGTTCTTTAAGAAGGTCAATAAAATTGACAAATCTCTAGAAAGAAACAGAGAAAATGCAAATTAGCACTATCGTGATTGAAATAAGATGTCACTGTAGTCCCTAAAGATGTCAAAAACAGAGGGGGAGGGCCAGTCCGGTGGCACACTCGGTAGAGTGCGGTGCTTGGGAGTGTGGTGGCGCTCCCGCCGAGGGTTCGGATCCCATATAGAGACCGGTCCACTCACTGGTTGAGCGTGGTGAGGGTGCGACACTGAGGGTTGCGATCCCGTTACCGGTCACGAAAAAAAGACAAAAAGGAAAAAAAAAAACGGGGATTTCCTCTTCCTCATTTTTAAAAACTAAAGCTGTGGGTCCCCTGAATTCCCTCCTATCCTTTGAATCATAAGCCAACATCAGCGAACTTTTTTCTGTAAAAGGTCAGAGAGTAAATATTTCAGAGTTGTTACAGTCTTTGAGGGCCGTTACAGTCTATGCCCCAAATACTCAACTCTGCTTTTTGTACAGCAAGAGACAAAACAAATGGGCATCACCATATTCCAGAAATACTTTTTTATAAAAACAGGTGTGGGAACAACAAGCAAAAAACAGGTTGTTGGCAAGATTTGACCCAAGAGTTGAGCTTGCTGACCCCTGTCATAAGTATTCAAATGTCCTACTTGTGAAACATTGAAGCCCAGAATTATTTAAAAGACAGAAGCCATCTTCTGGTACCACAGGCTCAGTCTGGCTATATTCCTAAGTTATCTTAGAGATTCCAGTGTGACCCTTCTTGAGCACAGAAGCCTGTGCTTAACCTCTGGGCTTCATCAACTGTGACTCCTCCTTCTCTGTTATTAGAAAACTAGTATGAGAAGGTATTGGTTGAACAGAGCCATACTCATTTTGAATCAGTTGAATCTATGCACACTCAAAATAAGGTTCTTTCTATGTTTTGAAGCAACTAAAACTAATAAATTACCCATCTGCCTAGCTCATTTGACAGTAATACTGGCTCTAAAGCTGCACTTCCCAATTTGGTACAACTAACCACGTGTGACTATTTAAATTTATATTTTAATGAATTAAAGTTAAATAAAATTTAAAATTCACTTCTCTTCAAGTGGTTAATAGCCATATATGGTTAGTGGCTACTGTACTGGACAGTGCAGATATACAACATTTCCATCATTGCAGATAGTTCTATTGGATGGTGCTGCTCTATAATTTGTAGGCCGTGCATCTTGAACAGCTCTGACTTTGGAGTTTTTTAAATCACTAATTTTTAACTTCTTTGTTTCTCTCTATTTATCCAAAACTCATTTTTTTTTTTTATTAATTTAAGGTAAGTGTAATGTACTCTTGTTTTAGAGAAAAAAGGAAATTAGTTTCATGGTATTAAGAAAGTGACTGAGTAAGAACTGCTGATCATATTCTTTGAAAATTTTATCATGGAAATTTATAAAATTGCCTTATATGAAAATTTCATAAAAATAGTGTAGACAGTGGAAATTATATTTATTGAGTAACTTGTATGTCCTAAGCACTGAGTGCTTTTGTAGTTGAGCCTCAGGAAATTTAAGTAAATACCAAGTAAGTGGCTGGCATGGATATTTGAACCCAAACCTGTGTGATGACTTCAAGACTTCTCCTTTCCTGTCACACTGTGCTGCTTTAAGTTTACTGAAGACTATTGTAGGTATTTTACATGTTTTATCTTAAGAAGCTCTAATTCCCTAAATATGTTTTTTGATATACTATGTTAATTTAAATGAGTCAAGTATCAATCTTTCTTAAAAATGAAATCTAATAGAGGCCTTTTTCCTTGACAAACATGTGAGAGAAGTGGAAAAATACCAGTGATCCTATTACAATTTGGCAGACCAGTCTTAGTAGGATTTCTATTACTTAGAAATACTGCAATTTCATTTACAACATTACTATTAGGACATTCAGACAATTTTTAGATTATAAATTATCAATTTTGATGACATCAGAATTACAGGTTTATTTGAAGGTTATTTTTACAGGACAATGCAACAGATTCTGATATCTTTTGAGAGTTTACGAAACCCCTTTTTTCAAATTATACACCCAGGACTAGATTTAACAGAGAACAGAACAAGTTGGTAACAATTAGGAATATTTACACAATGTTCATTTTGCACAGGAAAAGAAGATTGTCTTGTGAATGTTTTCAATTTAACAAATTGTCAGATAAGACTCCTTAAACTAGATTATGGCATAGAAAAATTTCAATCTTTGTAGCTGCAGAGCAGAGGGGACATCACCTCCATTTGGTTTTGAGACTCTAATGATGATTTTTTGGGGGGAGGGTGGCTGGCCACTATGGGATCCAAACCCATGACCTTTGTGTTAATGAGGCTGCACTCTAACCAACTGAGCGAACCAGCCAGCCCTATTTAATTATGAAGATTTGTATTTTTAGACCAGGATCTGTATTTTTTTTTTTTTTTCAGGTGGCCAGTATAGGGACCCGAATCCTGAACATTGGTGTTATAACACCATGCTCTAAGCAACTGGCAAAAGTGGGGCTGGCCAGTTAGCTCACTTGTTTAGAGCATGGTGTGAGGGTTCGGATCCTGTACTGGCCAGCAGCAAAATAAATAAATAAAAGCAAAGCAGGTCTGCAGAACTATTTTACTTGCAAAAGTGAAGAAAGATAATAAAGATTTGTTTGTTTTGCAGCTGGCTGGTTTGGAGATCTGAACCCTTGACCTTGGAGTTGTAACACTGTGCTCTAACCAACTGACTAACTGGGGGATTTTACTTAATAACAGTGAAATAATGTTAGAATGCTTCTAGCATTAATCTTCTACATCTACATTAAACATTTCCTTTTACTCCTTGAAAAATAACTTTATAACCAGATTCAGCAATGAATTATAAACTATTAAAATATATCGAGGTTATAATTGAAAAGACAAGCTCTGTAATGGACTCACAATATTTTCTTTAAAATTTGATACCATGGTGCTTATCTTCATGTGCAGGAGGCAGATGTTGAGCCCTTACTGTGACACGCTCAGAAGTAATCCATTGCAGTTAACTTGCAGACAGGACCAGAGAGCAGTTGCAGTGTGTAACTTGCAGAAGTTTCCTAAACCTTTACCACAAGAGTATCAGGTAACACTTGTTTTGGGGACAGTTTTAGGAATCAATTTTTTAAAAAGTAGTCTCCATTTTGAATTAGAAGAGTGAATTCTTTTTTTTTTTATAAGATGACCGGTAAGGGGATCTTAACCCTTGACTTGGTGTTGTCAGCACCACGCTCACCCAGTGAGCTAACCAGCCATCCCTATACAGGATCCGAACCCGTGGCCTTGGTGTTATCAGCACCACACTCTCCTGAGTGAGCTACGGGCCGGCCCATGAAGAGTGAATTCTCTTAAGTTTTTCAATTTATAAGACCTGTTTGTTTTTCATAAGTTAGAAAAAACAAGAACTCCTCTATTTCTTTACAGCTTAATGTGCTAATTCATAGCAATTAGTCACTACCAATACCTTGTAATAATGGCAGGAGGTATTTAGAATGTTTGCCTTGATCTATTTTAAAACTGTTTGTATTTCTTTCTAATTGATTCCAAATCTTCATGTTTAAATTCCTCTAATTTATGCAAAAAACAAAATTATTTAAAGAAAATAACTTAGGTTCTGAAATCCAATTAATTGGAAGACTTGGAAGTTCTGCTTGAGAAAAATTTGATTCATGAAATCTAAAAGATGAGGGAAATGGTCCCACATGTCCAGTTGGAATCTCTGATTAGAACTTTAAGTTTTTTGTTGCCATGGCTATCTGTCAAAAGCCTCAGCTCCACCTGCCATTTACAAAGGAACCTTTAGGCAGAAATGATATCTCAGAAACCATTTTTAAAATGGTAGCTGCTAAATTTTGAGCTTTCTACACATATTTATGACCCCTCTAGTGCTTGAGACACCATAACATGGCAACTGTATATCTAGGCATAGTAATATAACTGAACAAGTTGGTGTAAAATGTGGAATCTTTAATATCTATCTGGTACCTTCCTCCTTTGTGTTCAAAGTATTTTATGTACAATCTCATTTATTTTCTCAGATTTTAACTTTTTCAATTTTGTCAAAACCATATGAATTAAGTGTCCTAAAAACACTTCAAATACATTAAATTTACAATGTCTTAATTGTATTCATTAGTTTTGTCTTTTGTCAACTCTTAAAACTCTTCCTTTTGCTTGGTGTAATTTTATTTCATCCTTTTTCAACAGTCAAATTTGTCAATGTAATAATTAATTTAGACTAATTTACTCACTGTGCTTATTTCTAAAACTATAGGAACTTCAAAATATAGTATCTTGTGTTATATAGCCTTAGAGCGTTGCTATAAATTGCCTTTGGACTTTGATTTGATTAACAGAATGTTTCTTACCCTCCTGTCTTCCCAATAATTTTTTTGTAGTACTTTGATGAACTCAGTGGGATACCTACAGAAGATTTGCCTTATTATGGTGGTTCAGTAGAAATTGCTGACTATTGCCCTTTCAGTCAGGAATTCAGTTGGCATTTAAGTGGTGAATATCAGCGCAGCTCAGATTGTAGAATATTGGAAAATCAACCAGGTTAGTAGTCTATTGAAATGAAGTGTTTTATACGTATTAAGATTATATATCAGCAATATAAAATAGTGGTTAAGGGCACAGATCTGACTGCCAGACTGTTTGAGTTTGTGTTATAGTTCCACTGCTATCCATCTGTAAGAAGTTACTTAACTTCTCTGTGCCTGTTTTCTCATCTGTACAGTGGGGATAATAATACTCATAGAGTTTGTACAGAGTAAATGAATTAATATAGTAAGTGCTTAGAACTATGCCTGACACAGAAAGGATCGTTAGCTATTAGATACATATGCACACACTACTTTTTAGTGTAATACCTTATGTCTTCATGGCACTTTTCACTTGCAAAGCATTTTTATTTTTATCATTTCATTTTATTTTTCTAGAAACCTTATGAAAGACTTAGGGAAGATATTATCGTATTTCACAGATGAACAGACACTAAATGATACAGTTAATTGACGTCAGTGCAAGATCCTACAGTGCAGGGCTCTCTATATTAAAACACCTTAGATAACCTATTTTTTTCCCTCTCTTAGGGAGTGTGCATTTTCTATAATTTAAAAGTAACATGTCATTCTTTAGGTATCAAAATAATGTTGTTGTCTCATGGCCAGTCAGATATACAATTGCCGTGTGGTATTCATGGGGCATTGGTTCCAGGACCCCCTGTGGACACCAAAATCTGCAGATGGCCAAGTCCCTTACATAAAATGGCATAATATTTGCATATAACCTCCCATATATATTTATGTGTGTGTGTGTATATGTATATATATATATATATATATATACATATATATGTGTGTGTGTGTGTGTGTATATATATATATATATAAAATCCTCTTGTATACTTTAAATCATCTCTAGATTACTCATAATACTTAATACAATGATACAATGCCTACACATCACTTCATTCAAGTGGATTCAAAGATAGTGCTCAGCATGCAGCAAATTCCAATTTTGCTTTTTGAAACTTGGTGGAATTTTTTTCTTCTGAATATCTTCCATCCAGAGTTGGTTTACTCCACGGATGCAAAACCCACACATATGGAGAGCTGACTATAATGCCATATTATTTATTTTCTTTTAATATATATAAATGAACAGGACAGCAAAGAAATCAACCGTATAGCAATTGGGTATTCTGCAGTAATAGTTATAGCTCATACTACTTTGTAAATAAAAATATTCTTACATCTGATATGTTAATAAAGAGCAATAGTTTTCTCTCTGTGGTCATCAAAATTTTTAATCTGGTCTTTCTCTACCCCCCCCTTCCATATTTTATTATAGACTAAATTATTTAAATTTTAAATTTCCATGATGTTTTAACTTTTTATTTTTTAACCTAGCAGATTTAACTGGACTTCCACAATCAATTTTTCCATCACTCATCTATTTAGTAAATGTCCTAAAGATTTATAACTGCTCAGCAGTTTCATGTTAAAGCAAAAGAAACAAGTCTGTCAGTGATGTATTTGCCAAAGATGTACCATCAGATTTTATTGTTTTAGAGCCGGGGTTGGCAGTCTTTTTTTTTTTTTTGTAAAGGACAAAATATAAATATCTCACGTTTCGCATATCATACAGTGTCTGTAACAAGTCTCTGCTGCTGCAGTGCGAAAGCAGTTATAGACAATATGTAAATGAGTGGGTGTGTCACGTTTGGGCCTGAGGGTTGTAGTTGCCTGAACCCTGTTTTAGACACTCATCACTGTGCTTTTCAAAGACTTTGAAACTCATAAATAAAAGAAATATAGGATTCTGTTTTATTCTGTTGCACATTTTCATTATTACCTTGTATAATTAAGATTTTTCAGAGCTGACATAAAATAAAATATTTATTTTTATAATATTTCAAAGTGGGCTAGTTGTGCACTCTGTTTTCAACAGATGAAACTTGTATCCTTGTTAGTATAGTGATGAGTAAAAAAGAAAAAACATAAAACTTGTTCTATAGAGTGTCAAGAGAGCAAATTATTGCTAGGATTTATGAACTTCATGCCTTTGTCCATTAGGTATTGGAGGTCATTTATTCCACCCCATATCTCTGCAGGTTTGTGCTTAGCCTGAGACCAGACCACCAAGTTATTTATGGGCCTCCAGGAGATGGCAAAAGTTGAAGATATAAGAAAGTTTCACAAAAGTTGCAACACCCCAAAAAAGCCTTCATTATACAAATCATTTGGCCTTATCCTATCATGGGTCACTTGGAGGTGACTCTTGTTGAGGTCACTAGTGAAAGTGATCTTTACCTTGGCATCTAGTCATCTAGTGATTTTTTTTTGGCAGCTGGCCAGTATAGGGATCAAACCCTGGACCTTGGTGTTATCAGCATCATGCTGGAACCAGCTGAGCTAACTAGCCAGCCCCATCTAGTGATTTTTAGTGCCAGTTCCTCTATATATCTAACCTAGATACTTTGGGCCCAGTTTTATTCCCTTGTTTCTGATATAGTAATTTTCTCCCACTAATTCCTTTATTGAGAACCCAGGTTGAGTTTGGAGTCCTGTTTATCTCAATGTTTTTAAATTTAAAAATTCCATTAAACATGTTTGATTTTTAAAGCAACTTTTTATCATAAAAACATTGAACATTTGTTCATTGAGCCAAAAATCAATTTTAATGAGACTTTTCTGGTTTGCTTTAGAAATCTTTAAAAACTATGGTGCTGAAAAGTATGGTCCTCATTCAGTTTGTCTAATCCAGAAATCTGCATTTGTCATGGAAAAGTGTGAGAGGAAGCTGAGTTATCCAGACTGGGGGAGTGGATGTTACCAGGTAAATTCCATGTTCGTTAATAGTTATGCCAAATATTATGTAATTTTATCTCATTATATGGTTTTAATATTTTTAAATGTATTTTTTATATTTTTATATATTTAATTTACTGATCAATACTTTAACTTATCTTACAAGTGAACGGATATGATGTGGTGGGGAGGGAAGAAAAGGAGGGGGGAAAGAAGAACAGGTAAAGGGACACGAAAATCAACTACAATGTATATTGAGAAGTTAAAATTTAAAAAAATAGATAAACAAATAAATAGATACTTTAACTTATCTTGTTTATGTAAATATTAATTTGGATGCTTGTGCATTGTCATTTCTTTAATATAAATTGTCTTTCTGTATTTGTTTAAAAATATATATAATTGCTATATATCGGTAAGTTATATAATAATTTTACTTCTGGGAATATGTCTTAAGGAAATAATGGTAAATATATAATTTTGTTCTTGAACAAATATTACTTTATAATGGAAAAAATTTTAATTTTATCTCAATAGTCTGAGCTTGTGTTATAAGAATTAATAAATCAGAACTGGCTGGTTAGCTCAAATGGTTAGAGCATGGTGTTGTAACACCATGATCAAGGGTTCAGATCTTCTTACTGGCCAGCCAGCCAAAAAACCAAGAGTTAATAGATCAGGGCTGGCTGTTTAGCTCAGTTGGTTAGGGTGCAGTGTTGTAACATCAAGTTCAAGGGTTTGGATCCTGCACCTACCTGCCACAAAAAAATAAATAAATAAATAAATAAATCAACTGCTGATTAAATAGGTTTTGAGGGGGTTTTTTCTTTGAAATTAGAAATCCAACAGGGGGGGGAAATGCTGTTTTCTTAATTATCTTATTTGCATATTTGCTATTAAATGGCTGTATCACCTTATTAAGAACTTATCAAGATACTGGCATTCATTCTATAACTTGGGTGCATCCAACTTAATGAATATTCCATACTCTAGTAATGGATGTCAGGAAGGTCAGTGTGATCCTGAAAATTAAGAATAAGCATGTTTTGTGTAATTCCAGCTGCAGGAGCTAAAAAGGCTTTTATAACTGGAAATTTAACTATTATTTTTAAAGTTACTTATAAAATTAACTTTATTTTTGGTAACAGCTTTATTGAGATGTACTCACATTTCACAGACCATACAATTCATATAAAATTAACTTTTAAACCTTACAAAAGATAATGAGAAATAAATATATATTATATATATATGATTTTTTTTTTTGTAGCTGGCATGTACCGGGATCTGAACCCTTGACCTTGGTATTATCAACATGGTGCTCTAACCAACTGAGCTAACCAGCCAGCCCATAGAAATAAATATTTTCCAGCTGTAATCTTCTGACAACTGTTATCCATCAATCTCTTTCCAGTAAATTCTATTAAAGATTTATGTATTGATTAATTACCTAGTTTTGACCTAATTGTCATCATACTACATAATTTTGTTTTGCTGCTTTTACTTAGTACATTTTTATGGGGGACAAAACACCATTTCCAAAATTTTTCCTATAGTAATTCTTACTATTCTTCATGGCTGTAGAACATTGCATCATTTAAAAGTATCGTAATTTGGGATGTCACATCCCTGTTTTGTATTGAGTTTACTTTCAAAAATACTTACATAAGTATATTTACATATTTTACTTTTTTAAATTTATTTTTTAAATTTATTCTTTGTTGAGTTGCTTTTGTTTTTTGTTTTCTTCATAAATAGACTTTATAGTGGTCCCCGTTTATCTGCAGGGTATATGTTCCAAGACCCCCAGTGGATGCCTGAAACCTCAGGTGGTACCAAACCCTATATAGGCTATGTTTTATTCCTGTATTACATACATACCTGTGATAAAGTTTAACTTACAAATTAGGCACAGTAGGAAATTAATAACAATAATTAATAATAAATGGAACAACTATAACAATATAATGTAATAAAAGTTATGTGAATGTGGTCTCTTGCTCTCTTGCTCTCTCACTCTCTTAAAATATCTTATCATACTGTACTTACCCATCTGTTGACTGCGGATAACTGAAAACATGGGTAAGGGGAAGAACAGTATTTTTTAGAGCAATTTTAGGTTCACAATAAAATTAAGTGGAAGATACAGAGAGTTCCCATATATCCCCTGCTCTGCACATGCACAGCCCTCCCCACTATCAACATCCTGCACCACAAAGGTATATTTGTTACAACTGATGAACCTACACATCATTATTACCCAATGTCCATAGTTTACATTAGGATTCATTCTTGGTGTTATATATTCTACGGGTTTTGACAGATGTATGACATCACCCCACAGCATTCTGCCCCTGGCCCCCAAAGTTCATGTCCTCCTCACAGAAAATAAATAAATGAATAAGATAAATGAATTTGTCCATAAGATAAATGAGTTTTTGAAGCAGACTTTGTTAATAAGTTAAGGATTGCCTATTTGTGGTTAAATAATTGCCAAGATTAATATAAAAATAAACGAAGTGAAAAACAGGATGACATACTTCAGGTGAAAGTTTGAAGGGAAACTTTATTATCTCTGTATAAAACACGCTTAAATGTACGTTTTAATGACAACTCTTTATGTTCTTAACATATTCTTCCCTATTGAAACTGGGATCATGGATCTTATTTGTCACCTTTTGTGCTACTAGCACCTTTTCATATGAATTTTTTAAGAAATAATTTTTTTTTTATTGTCTAAGTAAGAAATTCACATGGTTAAAAATTCAAAATAATAAAAGAATGTACAGGTTGCAGGAAAAGCCTTCCTCCCATTCCTGTCCTCCAGTCACTTATTTCCCCCTTTGGAGGGAATTAACATTATCAGCTTTTTATATCCTTCTAAAAATAAATTCTGTGCAGACACAAATATATGAGGGATCCTCACAAAGTTCTTGGAAATATTTGTATTATCGTTTAATTCTATTTTTCTACTAACTTTTTGAAGTACCTTTGTATATTATTATTTCAATTTTTTTTACACAAATAGTAACAAGTTACGCATACTGTTCTGCAGTGCGTATTAAAAAGTCATTTTTAATATTATCTGACTAGTTTCAGCCCTATGTCTGAACTGGCTATAGGACATCACAATTTGGTTGTACTTAGGTCATTCCAAATTCAGTTCATCCAAAATTTGTTTACAATCCTCTTCCAAACAACTCTGCATCTCAGTTATCCTGCTTCCAGCACTGTTACCAGTCAGTCTCTCAGACTAGAAAACAAAGTGATATTTTTCTACTCTGTTCTCTAAAGACAGATCTGTAAAGAGTAAATCTTTAGATTGTTCTTCTATTGTAATCTCTTGTATCCATTTTATTTTAGGTTTGCCTTCATCATTTCACAGTTTCCTTTGTAGTTTCCCTATTTTCTTTTTTTTTTTTTCAAAAGATGACCGGTAAGGGGATCTTAACCCTTGACTTGGTGTTGTCAGCACCATGCTCAGCCAGTGAGCGAACCGGCCATCCCTATATGGGATCCGAACCCTTGGCCTTGGTGTTATCAGCACCACACTCTCCCGAGTGAGCCACGGGCCAGCCCGTAGTTTCCCTATTTTCATTCCATAACCAAATTGATCCTTTTTAAATTTTTATTTTTTGATCAAGAAATTAAAAAAAAAATTTAGAGCGTGGTGCTAACAGCAAGGTCCAGGGTTTTATTCCTGTACTGACCAGCTGCCAAAAAAAAAAAAAAAGAAAAGAAATTTAGTTTTGATCAAACTTACACGTCAGTAGTTTGAGTCAGATTTGTCATCTTCTTTCAAAAAACTGCAGTCCTTGGTATTACTTCCCTAACGTTAATAGCTTATTCCCAGAGGTATCACTTTCAATTTGTAGCTGTTTGGTTGTATTGGAGGGGATTTTGGGGGGGAGGGGTAGTATTTGCTTTCTTATTTATAAAAATTTTATTCTTTATAATGTTTCAATTTCAGGTGTTATCTGTTGACTTTGGAAGATGAGCACTTAGGTCTTTCACCCCCTCCCTCCACTATGTTCACTTTATTTCTTGATCCTCCCCGTGGTAATTTTGGATAGATAATTTGGATACGTTACTATGACTGTATAATGTGGAGCTGTGTAATATTCAGTGATTAATTTTCCAATTCTCCTCAACACTTTGTATTTAGAACTTAGTTTCAAACTCTTCTCCCAGTTGGGCTCATCTCCTTTTTTTTTTTTTCAGGTGGCTGGCCAGTATGGAGATCCAAACCCGCCACCTTGGTTTTATAAGGCTGTACTCTAACCAGCTGATCTAACCAGTCAACCCCTTCATCTCCTTTCAGTACAATTAGATACTTAGGTATTCTTTCAATTTATCTTGAGAAAATCTCTTCTGGAAATTTCTGACCTGCGCTAATCTAGACTAGATAATCTTTAGATTTGCAATACAGCTTTCATCTTGGGATCTCCAGTCGTGATCATCCTTTGCCTCTCTCTTGAATTGGATCCCCTTCTTCGTGGATTTTGTATCATATGCTTTCTTGGTTTCTTTTTTCATTTTAGTGGAACATATCTCCTAGTGGATTTTTTTCTTACTTTTTTTTTGGCAGTTGGCCACTATGTGTTGCTTTGCCTCACATGGATTTGTCACCTCTCTTCCCCTGGGTGACAGAGAAACAAAAAGGATTATGCAAAGCCCATTTCCTCTGAGCAGTGAGACACCCGGAAAGGGTTAACTTCCTGGAACCCTCAAGAGAAAGGCATTCCTCCTTTGGGAAATTAACACTGAACTGGGGTTCTGTCTCAGTATTTATTTTCCAGGACAGAAAGTTACAGAAAAAGAACATAGGTGGGGTTATGGCTAAGTATAGTTTAAGAATAAAGGCTGGTAACATCAGTGAAATAACAAAGTGATATTCCATAATGGAATTTGCAAAAAGTTAAGTCGATCCACTAACAAAAGTTTGTTCTTAGCAAACATTTTCTTTCCCTACAGCAATTTCCTTAGTACGTTTACATAACAGTTAAGTAAGGTTAACCTGCACCAAAGACATCTACCCTTTGAGCCAGCAATTTTGCTGTTACAATTCTATTTCTATATCAGAGGCTTTAGCCTGGGGAAAGTTTCCTGTCTTTTGCAAGGTTAACATGTCTATATATAATTTTTTTAAAGTTAGGTTAAACCTGAAACTACAGGGCTTTGGAAACTAGGCCCTATGAAATACATTTGCTTTATAAATGTTAGTACTCCACAACTATGGGATCCAAACCCGTGATGTTGGTGTTATAAGGCTGCGCTCTAACCAACTGAGCTAACCAGCCAGCCCTCCTACTGGATTTTTGAGAAGGAATATATGAGAGAGAAAAATTTTGAGATCTTGCATGTCTGAAAGTGTCACTATTCTATAATTATACCTGATGGTAGTGTAAGGAAGGCAAAACTTCACCCTCTTAGGGGTCTCTGACTGGACCTGAGAATTAAATTGGCATAAGACTGATTAAAAGGAGAAAAGCATGCAAATTAATTCAATATAAGTTTTATGTGACACGGGAGCTCTCATGAGGAAATGAAGACCCAAAGAAGTAGCAAAGCCTATGTGCTTTTATACTAGATTGAGCAAAGGGAGGCAGTTACAGAAAAGTAACTAAAATATATGGGGAGGCTAAAGGAAGATAAGTATTTTAACAAAGTCTTTATATAGAATTCTCTTGCTTTGACTTTCTGTCTCTGGTGATAAGAATATTTCTTCTGTCCTGGAACAAGGAGAACATCTCTCATGTGAGAGTTTTATCTCCTGCTTTTGGGAAGAAAAGGGGAGGTCAGAACATTCTAATTGTATCTGCAGCTTTTAAGCGCTTTTACCTCTAAATAATCCTTATGCCAAAATGGCATATTTCTGGGTAGCATATTCTGCCATTTTTTAAATAGTTTGGCTGGGTATAGCTTTCTTTTCGACGGTCATTTTCCATCAGAATTCTGAAGGCATTTTTCCTTTCTGTCCTAGTTCTCAGTATCATTCTGATTATTGATTGTATATAATTTTTTCCTTCATCTCTGAAAGCTGGTAAATTATTTTTTAACTCCTCAAACCATCTCCCACTATTATGAAATTTAATGGATTGGGTCTGTTTTTGGTGATCTTTAATAGCCTGTTCATATTCAAGAGATCTTGAATATGAAAGAGCTGAAAGACAATTTGAGCATGTACTTCAGGCCTGTTGACCTTGGTCTTCACTATATGGCTTTCCTTCCAAAACCTTTGATATGTGTATCTTGAGGGGTTTTCCTCTTGGGCTGGTCAGATTTCTCAGAGGAAATTTCTAATATCCGGTCATAGCATTTGTATGCGTAGCTGTCAGTGTTCTAGGAACTAAGTTTTGAATGCTAAAGGGTCTCAACATTTAATATGTAAACTTTTATTAGAGCCCTATTTTCAGAATGGCATCCCAATCCTCACCTGTACTTGGTTTCCCCCAGAGCAGAATCCTCTGTTTTATCCTTTCCAAAAAATAAGTCTGCAGTATGCAGGATTAGGAAGGAATAGTGGCCCTGCTCATAGTGAAGGAGAGGAATCCTGGGATCTGTTTCTTAAATAGATTTTAATCCTTCTAATTGTAGCTCTTACTTCCTGGTTCCTGGTACCAGCAATTCCTGAGCCTTCCCTGTGTTCTGTAATGCAAATCAAGTTGCTTCTTGGCTTTCCCTCTTGCTTGATTTTGGGGGGTGGGGAGGGGTTTGTTTTTGTGGTTTTTGGTGGCTGGCGAGTTCTGAACCCTTGACCTTGGTGTTATAACAAATGCTCTAACCAGTTGAGCTAACCGGCCAGCCCTGCTGCTGGATTTTGATTCAGCTTTCTTGAGTCTGCTACTACTTGTACATCTACCCTATCTGCCCACACATAATTCCCAGAATTTCATAATGGGAGTGCTTATACTTCATCAAGAGAGTTTTCCTCTTGCCCTATCAACACTCTCATAATTCTTATCTCTAAACCATGTGCATTTTATTTTCCAACCTGTAACATCTGCCTTATTAGGATCCAAATCCTGTGTACATCTTTAGGATATAAAAGCTCTTTCTTCCATGAAACTTTCTAATATTTATTGCTCTTGTTTCCACCATTTACTTTTAATCATAAAACAGTGTGGCACTATTAATTTTTTAGAAAAAATATTTATATCCCATCCATCTTTCCTCAATTAAAGTTGCTAGAGAGCAGGCACTATCATGGACTTCTTTGGTATCCTTTTCATCACCAGCCACAGTGCTAACTCAATTTTACTTAAAAGCATACTTTCATTGCAGTGTAGCTGTGGTGATACTTACTAGACATGGGTCATTGAATAACAGACTTGCGGAAGGGGTCACGCTTTGTTGTTTTTTGTTTTCTTAATAGCTTATTATAACTTAAATTTCCAAATGAGTGTTATATTTCAACTTGATTGCTATGGGTTGATTGAATTGTGTACCCAAAGTCCATATATTAAAAGCTTAATTCCCACCGAATCTGTTGAGGGTGGGAAATCCAATTATGGTAATTGAAAGCTGGGGCCTTGAAGAGGTGATTAGATTGTAGGACCATGCAGTAGTGAATGGGTTAATAATGGTGGCCGGGGCATGGATTGGAGGAGAGTGAATGAAGAGGTTAGTCTCTCTCTGCTCCACCACTTTTGCAATGTGGTACTCTGTTGTCACTTCACCACCTCAAGGCAATCACCAGCCATGTTCCCTGGACTTTGGACTTCCCAGCCTAAGAAACTGTAAGCAATAAATTTCAATATCTGAAAAATCACCCAGTTGCATGTATTTTGTTATAAGCAACAGAAACGAACTAATACATTAAGTGATGATAGATTTCTTTCAAAAATGCCACCATCATTCAAATATACTTTTTAAACTCCTCTTTGCTTTTAGAAGTACTTTAATAGCTAAGAGAATCGGTCTTAGTAATTTTGTATCACATGTATGTTTAACCTTGTGTAACCAGTGTAATCAACTACCTTTAGCAGACTTGGTTTTTGGCAACTTTGGGCTATTTCCAAAAATCACTTGCAAAGTAAAAATTTGCTACCAGCAGACATATTTAGAAGCATGCACTGGCTTTGAAGTTAGTCCCAAGAGAGAAGTTCCAGAAATATTTATAATGGAGTAGGCTGGGCTGGCCGGATAGCTCACTTGGGAGAGTGTGGTGCTGATAACACCAAGGTCAAGGATCCGGATCCCTGTACCGGCCAGCTGCCAAAAAAATAAATAAAATGATATGAAGTAGCATAATTGAAATTAATGTGAAGTCTTTGTAGAAAACAACTTTGAAGAAGACATGGTAATTTTTAAATGCTTTAATGTGTCTGCTTTTTATAGTTGATTTCATTAGTTATCCTTTGCAATTGAGATATGAGTCTTGCCTTTAAAAGATGTTACTAGTCTGGATAAAATCACTGTGACTGTTTTTATCTCTGAGCAGAGGATCTTGGGTAGGGAGAAAGAATGAAGAACTTTTACTATGTACAGTTCTGTACTGTATGCTTTTTTTTTTTTTTTTGGTCTAAAATTATATATATTATTTTTAAAATTTAAAACAATAAAACTTTGGCAAAAATTTAATGACTTATAGAGAGATTGGCTGTTTGACAGAGATTTCAGCTGAAGTATATAAGGATACTGGAATCTACAGAAATATTGTTTGTAACTTGGCTTCAGGGGTCTGTGAATTCAAATTGTATTCAAAGCTGTGTATGTGTTCCCTTGTATTTTTTAGGAAAAGTGTTCATAGCTTTCATCAGATTCTTAAAAACATGCTAGGCTCAAATTTAAGACCTAATACCACAGAGTGAAATTCTTTTAGAACCTAAATAACTTACCCTCTCGATATGAGGTTAAAGATATGCCCTTGTCCCAAATTGTGCTTTATAACCAATATTTTTAGTAAATTTTAGTACATTTTCCCACAGTTAAAGGAGAAATCTCATATCCTAGAATCTTACTGACCAGAATTTTTTCCCCCCTATTTAAAGGTTTCTTGTTCTCCTCAAGGTCTGAAGGTTTGGGTCCAAGATACTTCATATTTGTGTAGTCGAGCCGGACAGGTCCTCCCTGTCAGTATTCAGATGAATGGCTGGATTCACGACGGAAACCTGCTTTGCCCATCATGTTGGGACTTCTGTGAGCCCTGTCCTCCAGAAACAGATCCTCCAGCTGCTAATCTGACCCGAGCTTTACCACTGGGTGAGTACTCTCTATGGTCAAAGTAAAGAGGGAAAAGTAAAGTGAGGACTTTTCATATAAGATGTTGAAAATTCCCTTTAAGGGAGCTCTAAAACAGGTTGAGCTTCTTCTCTTCTGACAGGGAAAATATTCATTCCCACCATCATTAGAAAGCTAAGGTAGATAAACTTGACGCTTCTATTCAGTAAGAGCAAGGGCAAGGAAACTTTCTGTGTCAAGAACCTCTGACTTGCACAGAGTAATTCATTGAAGGTCACAAAATGTGAATGTTTTATCCATTCATTTTGAAATTAAGAGTAAACAAAATTCTGTTCATTAAATACAAAAAAATTTAAATCTATTTTAGTTTTATCCTAACCAGGTGAGGTGAGAGTGAGGGAAAGACACTGGAAAAGATACTCAAAAAAGCAATTTAACAATAGTAACAAAATTAAGTCATCCTATCAAGTTCACATTAGAAGTAAAAGCTAACTGAGCATATTTAATACTACATTTACTTACATGCCCACAAAGAAGAGAACGATGAAAGGAGACACAAAAATACACACAAAGTGAGATAGAAAGACAGAGCCCGGCAAAGACAAGGTGGCTTTCGTTGAGGGATATTATGCCAGATATTACTTGACTTATGATGGAGTTATATCCCAATAAATCCATCATAAGTTGAAAATATTGTAAGTCAAAAGTGTGTTAAATACCCTGATAGACATATAAAAAATATGATAAAAAATACCCTAACTCATCGTAAAGTCGAAAAATTGTTAAGTAGAACCATTGTAAATTGGGAACCATCTGTACTTATTCTGTGAGACTTCAGAAAGTAAAATTAGGATGAATATATTGAAGTCGTAAGGAGATCTATTCCAGTTAAATCCTTTAGAGCCAGGAGAGGAATGGAAAGGACTGCCTTGAAAAGAATATGTTCCCCATTATTGAAGGTGTTTGAACTGAGGCTAATGATCCATTGCTAAGAGTTATAAAAGCAGAATTGATGAATTCTCGGGCTGGCCAGTTAGCTCAGTTGATTAGAGTGTAGTGCTGATAATAACTAAGGTCCAGGGTTCAATGCCTATACCAGCCAGCTGCCAAAAAAATAAAAATGGAATAATATAATTTATAAATTCTCAAAGCTTTGATTTAAATGACCTATGAGATTCTTTGGCAGTTTGACATTTTTAGAATATGGACAATAAAAATCTTATTCAATGTTTCATTTTCTCAACTGGAGGTATTTTTGTATGGAACTACATTGCCCTTTCCCCAGGATTTGGGAAAGAAAGTTAATTTTATTTATTTTATTTATTTTATTTTTTTTATTTTTTATTTTTTAAAAGATGACCAGTAACGGGATCTTAACCCTTGGTGTTGTCAGCACCATGCTCAGCCAGTGAGCGAACCGGCCATCCCTATATGGGATCCGAACCCGGGGCCTTGGTGTTATCAGCACCGCACTCTCCCGAGTGAGCCACAGGCCGGCCCCGGAAGTTAATTTTAGAGGTAAGCTGAATGTCACCTTCTATTTTCAACCAGACTGTGGAGATTAGTGCTTGTGTTGGTGGTCATTAAGACTATCCCCAGGTTCATTGGTGCACTAGGAGGACTCACAGGACTCAGCTGCTTGTCATATTCATGGCTTAGATTTGGTAAAGCGAAAGGATGCAAAGCAAAATCAGCAAAGGGAAAAGGATCATGGGGTAAAGTCCAGAGGAAGCCAGTTCCCAGACAACAGCTCAGGGCCACCTTGCAAGCAGAACTTGCTAACAGTAGCAGTCTCAGCCCTGCAATGTTACTTTTTTCTGCATAATACTACAGTTAGCTGAGTTTTCTACAGTTACACTAGTAATGACACAATAATTTGACATGATATAAATCTTAGGTCACTTGATGTGGTATACAGTAAATGTAATGTTAAGTATGCTGTTAACTTTTACTTTCAGTGTGAAGCTGGTAGGATGACTTAATTTTGTCATTGTTTTTAGATTGCTTTGGCTAGAATTAGAGAGCTAATGGTCCATAAATATATGGTTCTAATGGAGTTCCATCCTTAAACCTAATCTTTAAATTTTTAATCCCAGTTAAAATTCTTTAACTGTAAGAAACTATCACCATCTCATCATCAAAGAGATGAGCAGGGATTCAGACCATTAGTACTTAGATTTGAGATAAAGGGAGAGTTACCTTCAGCTGATACAGGGGTAGAAATCTTAGGAGTACAGGAGAAGAATGTGTAGGAATAAGGAGAAAGCCAGACCAGGTCAAGGAGCTACGAAATAACCAAGTTCCTGCCCTTGGACTGTGACAAATACAAATGAATCTGTTGAAAGGAGGTGGGCAGTGGAGATTGCAAACCACCCAACGCCCTCCACATCAACCTCCTGGTACTCTACACTCTACTTTTTATCCTGCTTCCTCTTTATCAGTCACCCTTCAGAGGCTGTGGTGCTATGATGTGGTTTTCTTTCACGTTAACTTACTAGTTCTATGAGGAATCATGCTCAAAAGAGCACTGTAACCTCCAAATCACTAACACAATTTTGAAAAATGTGCAAAACATTACAAGAATAAATGCCTACCTACCTCTTAGGCATTGCTTTTTAAACTTTATAAGCTTCACTGTTGGTATTCTTTTTTTTTTTTTTTTTTTTTTAAAGATGACCGGTAAGGGGATCTTAACCCTTGACTTGGTGTTGTCAGCACCACACTCTCCCAAGTGAGTGAACCGGCCATCTCTATATGGGATCCGAACCCATGGCCTTGGTGTTATCAGCACCACACTCTACCGAGTGAGCCACGGGCTGGCCTAGTGAAATAATTTTTTAAATATATTTCCACACCGTGTAATGCTTAAAGAGCAGGCTCCAATGCGTAGACATTATGATTCCATTTATTCTGTAGCTGAAAACCAGCCAGTTTTCTTTTAAGCAAGTCAACTTGAACCTTGCTTCATTCTTTAAAGACCCATCGTTATTGTTCAAAATTTTAAAAAGGACAGCTCATCCTAAAATAAGATTGGGTTGGCCTGATCTCTCAATTGCTATAAAACTGTTTTCATTATGAGAATTGTTTCATTTGAGAATCGTTTTGGAAAATACACCGAAGTGCCCAAAACCCATAAAATCTTTGCTCTATCAGTCTTAGGGTGATATGGATGGGTGGCAGATACTTAGAAATAGGTGACCATATGTCCTGATTTGCCTGAGATAGTCCACGTGCCTGTTGTCTTCATGTAATTATTAATAGTGCTCCCCTGTATTTCAAAATGCATTTGTTTGGGGTGATAAATGATACAGTCACCCTACTTAGAAGGGATAAGGAATAGAAGAGAATTCTTCATTCCATCTCAGAATAGCCAAGATATTAGTTTACTTTCCTGTGTATCATGTTTAGCTTTACTGCAATACGACCCTAAGACACTTCTTTCTTTTCTTGGGTGCCATTTTTCAGCCTTGACATGGTGGATGCATCTTTTCTTCCACCATAATATTAAAATAACTTTGCATACCTGGGTTTCAGGAAGTCTCTGTTGATTCTGCTCTCTAATGTAGTCCTTGTTCCCTTTTTAATAACCACCTGTATTTATTTAATCACCTGTCAGTATTTAATTGGTATGCTGTATCCAAAAAATGTCTATAGAAAGTCAATTTTTTGTTTTCAACCCTAGATCTCTGTTCCCGTTCCTCTAGCCTGGTGGTCACCCTCTGGCTTCTGCTAGGCAATCTGTTTCCTCTGCTGGCCGGATTTCTTCTGTGTGTGTGGCACTAGTAATGGAAAAGTGAATTCTCAAGTTACTTTATGTGATATTCCTGCAAACAAAGCACAAAATCTGGGTAATGGCAACCTATGCAGATGGCAGAAGTGGCTTTCCTGACTTTGGCTTGGAGTGTTGACCACAATTAGACCTTGAAGCAAAGCTTCACAGCAGTCACTCCGCATCCGCAGCCCAACCACCTCAGAGCTTGGAGAGCAAAAGAGATTATAAGTCACCAAGTCTCTTTATTTTTCAGGATAGTTTTCCTTTGAAAATAGGATAATTGGTGGAATATTCAGAGTGATTACATACCTCAGCATCTTCACTAACCTAAGACGATGGGAGAGTTCATCATCAATACTTCAGTAACTTAAACAACAGCTAATTATTGCCGGATTACAAGTTGTGAATCCTGTCCTCAAAAGTATAAATTGTCCTTTGACTTACAGAAAATAATTGAATCGGAATTTCTACAGCACTGTTATACGTATTTTAAGTTTAATAGCTATACATGGTACACTCAAATCATCATTCCCATTGTTAGTTCTAAATTATGTATTATATTTTAAAATTATGTTGTGCTAAATCTTATGATTTAACCATGCTTGCCTTTTTTTGCCAGCTGTGTGGCAATTTACTACTGAACTATCATCGGTATGTTGGTAGCCTTCTGTCCTCACCGATCTTCAGAGCTCAGCTTCCAGTTGTATTCTCCATTAGTTTAATAATGACTTGAAAAAATGTGGAAGCAGAGAGAGTAAAATACTCTGCCCTGTAAAAATGTTGAAGACGTGCAAAAAGAAGAAAACATAATTGTATGTTTTTCAGATAATAGTTATGACAACTATAATCCAACATTATGCAACTATAATCCAACAAAAACAAAACTATTCCTTTATGACCAATGAAGATAAAAAATAAACAGGTATGGAATTATTTTAAAGTGGGCTAAGAAATTGTTACGGAAGACCGAAAAAAAAAAAAAAAAAAAAAAAAAAAGATGAGAAAAAAGGAATTGTTACAGAAGAGTTTCTTTTTTTCTTCTTCTTTTCACAGGTGTTGAAGATGTTTCTAATATCTGAAAATTATTTTATGTATAAGAAGAAAAATATAAGTCAAAACAAGATGGTCTGAATTGTGGGCCGGCCCGTGGCTCACTCGGGAGAGTGTGGTGCTGATAACAGCAAGGCCACGGGTTCAGATCCCTATATAGGGATGGCCGGTTAGCTCACAAGGGAGAGTGTGGTGCTGACAACACCAAGTCAAGGGTTAAGATCCCCTTACTGGTCATCTTTAAAAAAAAAAAAAAAAATAGTCTGAATTGTTTAGTAGTAGATAAGTGTAAGTCTGATGTAAGGCCTATCCAATAAGGTCTACTTTCCATGTAACATATGGCTCAGTCCACAGAAGTTGGAAGGTTGCCTTTGCTTTAAATGTCTTTGCCTCCTGCATTTGATACTCCTTCTATTATCACACAGATTCTGGTCCCCGAGGCCATTCTACTCTGGAACCAGAGCTTACCAACCCCATTTGGTAATTCTAATTTCAAATTCTTTAATGATGGGTGATGCCCAGTTTTTCTCTCTCAAGTTCACGAAGTCCTATGGCATAACCCTTGGGCAAGCTTCCCTCCTCCCTCCCCCCATCCCTCCTTTCCATTCAGCATATAGTTATTGAGTACTCTATTTAAAAAATAGTGCTAAGTGAGCGAAGCAGCATAATTACTAAGGAATAATTCCAATTGACTATTTGGCACTGGAGCCAAACAGCAGTCCCAGCATAAAGGAAAGTCACTTTTTTTAAATGCATAAATTTAAAATATGTGTTTTCATGCAGTTTTAAATTGGAGGTATTTGTCATTGTGAAAAGTTGAAGATCTCAAACACTGTCAACTTCAGCTAAAGAGAAGCTAATAGTAATGGTCTGCAGGCCAGCACTCAGTTTTCTGCCTATGTTGTACATACTTTAAATTGTGCAGGGTCAGAGAAAAGTGAAGAGTATATTTTTAATGAAACTTATAATAATCTAAACTTATATACCTATTATGATTATGAATCGTCCTGCAAAGTTGTATAAAGAATTTCACCAAAAATACAATGGATTAATATATTTGAGATTCATGGTGATAGGTTTAACTGTATTTTGACTGTTGTGCAGTAATACCATTTAGGTAGCATTGTTTCTGAGCATGGTGCTTTTTATACTTGAAATATATTTTTGCTTTATTTTTTATTGATATAATTATATTTGCACTAATGACTTTCTGGAAAAAATATAGATGACATTTTTTTGTATGTATATTTATTAAGCTTGGAATCTAGTAGCCCAGTGTTTTCTCCGCACAAATATGAAACTTGATAAAGTGTGATGTCAAGAAATCTTGAGTTCCTGAGGGTAACTAACTTCATTGATGTCTCTCTTCCTCCTCGATAAAGGCTTGAACATGGTTACCTATCATTGATTCTGCATACTGTGCTCAGCAAGATTTAGAAGGATACTGAACCTGCAAGGAATTTTAAGAATCACATTTTAGTCACTTAGAATATAACAATGAAGCAAAGACTTTTAAAATCTGAGATTTTAATGCAGAATTATTGGTATAGAATTCAGCTGCAAACTGAAGAATTTGAAATGGCTTAAATGTTGGTGTCCTGTGACAGGTTGTGTTGTTTATGTTAACAAAAACAAAATCAGCTCCCTGTGTAAGAGAGACTGAGCAGGCTGCAGCTGTGGGGAAGTGAGGTGGAACAGGGAAGAATGGGACCCGCTGAACCGGGGACAGTAGACTGGACTCCGTTCCTGATTCAAAAAGGGTCAAGAACTTATAAAAACTGACTGCCTCGGTTTTCAGTTCAGACTTAGGTTCATTTTGATCATTTTAAGGTCCCAAGTGTCAAAAATATCAAGTAAATTTGTCTCAGGTTTTCAAGAACAGAATTTACAGGAAGGAAGCAAAAGCCATGTTAGTAGCCTTGAGCTGACAGCTTTAAAGAAACTGGCAAGCGGGCAGTCTTGATGTAGACCCCTCTAACATTCTCCTGAAAAACATCCCTTTTCCTACTTCCTAAAATCAGTGACCATTACATTTTTCCTGTAGGATACTTATATTTGTTAAGACCAAATAGACATTCTAAAAATGTTATAAATTATGCTTAAAATTAGTTTTCAGCCTATGTGAGCTTAGAGTTTATCAATATTTGAAGTTGAAACATAATTTTATGAGATTTAGAAAGTTTTAGGGCCTGAAAGAAAAACAAGTAAATAGTTTTAGGAAGATACATAAATAAGTATATCAGAGTATTCCATAAAATTTTATCAATGTTCTGTTCAGTATTAGGAGACTTAGTGATTGAGTCATTTGTAAAACGAGTAGGTGATTTCTCAGAATCCTTCCTGCACTAATATTCTATGAGTAATACTCATCCAGAATTGCTAGGTCACTGCTGACTCTGATCCACCTCCTGGAATATACCAACTTGCATGTTGTGTTCATCACAGTGTCGTGCTTGATGCCTTACCTCTGTCCATGTCCTTGGACACTGAGCGGACAGAGAAGAGCCTGTCTCTGAGGGCAGTTGAGTAGTCCCTCTGGAGGAGATGGACTCCAGGCACAGACCCATTTCACGGTGGGCACTAGTCATTCCTGCCATGTCCCTGCAGCCCAGGAGGACTAACACTTTAATAAAGTCTGTTCAACTCATTCTGAAGAAAGAATTTACCTGAAGGGAAGAAATTTTTTTTTTTTTTTTTTGATACATTGGGTCAGAGTTGGGGAGGGAGTGATGAATTATTTTCTTTTATGTTTACATTTTAAATAAATAAAATCAAAGATTTAAGAACTAATCTTTATTTATGGTATTAAACTTTAAGTGTAATATATTCCTTAGATACAACTTTAATAAAAATGGAAACTAATTTGCATCTTGTCTTATCATCAATTTTTTAATACCTGGATAAGGAACACAAACACAGCCATGCACTCCATTTGGGGAAGATGATATGTTTATTATGAAATATAATTCAGTTTTTACTTAAACATGAGTAAAATTGTCCTACTTAAAGAATGGGGACAGGCCTTATGTAAAGCTACAGGGAGTAGCCCTCAAATAATTAAGCAGGAAAGAGCAGAATAAAACAATTTGTAGGACAGTTTGTTCTGTGCTGTGGGCCAGGAGTGTTACTGTATGGCCACGTTGGCACATTCAAGCACCACACTTTACACAGAGGCATCAAATAGACTGTGGCTGTAGTCATGGAGTGTGATTCTTCCTTATAACCTGAATGTAGAATGAGAGAACGTCCTGGGGGACATGCCTTTCCCATGTGCACTTAGAGCCATTACACCTGTGACATGGAGCCAAGCACTTTGTAAAATTGATCAGATATGCCCTGTGTGATCTAGTTGTTGAATTGAGATTTTTGTGGAATTTTTAAATAATTATTATTTTTAAAGATTTCAATATTTTATATAATTTTATGATTTATATAATTTCTATATGAAGTAAATTACTTCAAGTAATTGAATAAATCCAATATTATTTGCTCAGTGTACTGAAGATAAAGCCGTCTGTGTATTACCTTGTTTATACTACCTTTTGGTATGTTCATAGTATATATCTTATTTAGGTCGTGATGGAGTTTGGATGTATTGTCCTCCCAGAACTCATGTGGAGATCTGATCCCCAATGTGGCAGTGTTGGAAGCTCTTTGGGCAGATCCCTTATGAATGGATTAATGCTCTCCTTGGATGGTGGGGGTAGTGAGTGGGTTCTTGCTTTATTAGTTCCCTCAAGAGTTTGTTGCTTAAAAGATCTCGGCACCTTCTCTCCCTCTCCCTCTCCTGCCCAGCCCCAGAATCCCTAGCAGAGCTGTGCTGCTAATGACAATTTCTGCCCAAGGAAAGGTCTGAGATGCTTCATTGTGTGCTGTTCCACTGTCCTTTCATAGGTGGATTCATGTCACTATCAGGAAGAACTTAATCTATGTGTCTAATGATCCCATTTGAGAAAATGTTTACACATGATGGGCTTTCCTTGTTCTGGACCCAAACTCAGTGAGGCCACCATTTCATCTCCAAGTGGTGAAAGTAATGTTAGAGTTCAGAAAATTATACCCCAAAGTATGGCACTTTGATATGCTGAGTACTTGTAACTAATGTAGATTGGAAGGCCTCAGAAGCAAAATCTCTCTATGATCTTCTGCCCTCCTGTCTCCTGCCCCTCCTTCTCATGCAAAGCAAGTCACAGACATCAGAATTCCTCTTCCCCAAGGTGGGGCCATAGAAACTAGAACCTCTCTCTCCCAAAGCAAGCCATAAAGCCTCTAAAAATATTACTCTAACCTTCCCCTGCCTTTTGCATAGGTGCTGGCCGTAAAGAAATTGTCTGATGATAGGTCATAAGATCCTCTTTCTAGAGGGGTCCTGCCCCATACCCAGGAAGAAGGAATGCTACACAGGCTAAGAAGAATCTGAACAGGCCTTGCTGGGTTTCTCCCCCTCAGTCTATTACCATTAAACCATACCCCTTTTTGTCCAATCACATTTCTACATGGTAGTCCGTTATCCATCAAACCTAAGCATAAAAATGAACAATTTTCGGGCCAACCCCGTGGCGCACTCAGGAGAGTGGGGGGGAGGGGGGGTCCGCCGCGGGTTCGGATCCTATATAGGGATGGCCAGTGCACTCACTGGCTGAGCGCGGTGCGGACCCCGTGGCGCACTCAGGAGAGTGGGGGGGAGCGGGGGTTCGCCGCGGGTTCGGATCCTATATAGGGATGGCCAGTGCACTCACTGGCTGAGCGCGGTGCGGGCGACACCAAGCCTAAGGGTTACGATCCCCTTACCGGTCACAAAAAAAAAAAAAGAACAATTTTCCCTTGGCCTTTGGGTCTTCATTTCTGAGGGCTCCTGTGTCACATAACTCTTTGATTAAATAAATTTGTTAGGCTTTTCTCTTGTTAACCTGTCTTTCATTATAGGAGTTGGAAAGGTGAGGAAAGGTATACCTTTTCCATCCCTACAGCAGGGTTGTCTCCAACTTTCTTATGCTGGGAAAAGCTAGTTTTCTTTCATAATTATATTTTAATCTCTAATTATGTGATGAAAATCAGGAGTTGATTCTCTAAATTATGAGGTTTTTGTGAACTTTAGTTGGAAAAAATTGGTTCAGGAATTTGACTTAAGCTTTTGACTGTGTAAT